CCATTTTTCTGTGTGAAAGTGTGTGTGTTGGTGTTTGTGAATGAGAAAGATGTGAACATGAAAAAACATTCTAGACAGCAATGATCCAGCAAAACAAATCGTCTGGAAATTCTTTCTTATTTTTTCTGTTGTTGTTAGAAATTCTTATTCCATTCCCATTATCGTTGTTATCAATGACAAATTCTGACAATTTTTTTTTCTTATGTTTCTCAAAATTCACTATTTGTAATTTACAAAATCAAAATAAAATAGATGAAACTAAAACCGAAACGAAAAAAAGATCCGTTTTGTAATTGTACATACAAATTCAATTATGTTATGTCAAGATTGATTGAATGCAGATTGAAAATCATTAAAATAAAATTTGATCCATTAAATTTATTGCATAATAAATTTTGTATGGTAATGATTATGATGATAATACTGATTTTTATGTAATGTTACAAAACAAAAAAGTTGAATTTTTTTACTTGGAAACCAAAACAAATCGAAACGATAATGATGATTATATAATGATCAATCGATTGGAAAAGAATTACCATCCATGGAAGAATAAACAATAGTAAGTTTTTTTCAGAAATAAATACCATTCAATCTTAATGGATAAAAATTTCATTTCTTTCAAATGCGATTCGATTTTTTTCTTCATCATTTTCGTGATGATAATGATGATTAACCTTTCGATAGTTAGGAAATTTTTCCCATCAAAACAAATATCGTTTTCTCATTTATTCTTATTCAAAATCAGAAGTTTAAATCAGATTCAAACAAAAACAAAAATCAACAACAACAGCAATCATCAACTAAATGAACATTTTTCGCCTTTTTGCATCATTATCATGATTGTATCGAATAAAAAACATTTTTTTCTGCTATTTCATATCAAGAATCATTATTGAAACTTTTATTTATTGATGTTTGTTTGTCTTTTTTAAAAGTTAAACTATAAAAAAGAAAGGACATTTTGAAAAAAAACTTTTAAATTTGAATCGATTTTGAAGAGAATGAAAAAAAAATTCAAAACCATAATCAGAAAAACAAATATGACAGAATAATCGAATCAAATCAAATCGAATTCCACTGATCAATCAATGGACCTACAATTTGAAAATCTTTTGAGTAAACGAAAATAGATCCCAAAACAAAAAAGATTCATATGGCGACTTCAAATTCTTGACTTTTATTTTCTTCAAAAAAAAAAAAGATTAAAAGAATTTATTATCTGTTTGTATTTGAGAAAATCTGAAAAGACCAACTTAAAAAATGATGACATTTAAAATTGAAATTTCCACCACTTGTCAAAAACACAAAAATCAAAATGAGATGAAAAGTTTTGGAGAGAAAAAAAAACAATTTTCTATATTCGGTTAATTAATTTTTAATGTTTTATTCTTATAATTTAACAAAAATCATTAAATTTTTTTGTGTTTGAAAACAAAACAACAGACCAAAATTCTTCTTTTTTTTGAGAATAAATTTTCAAGCAAACAATTTCAATGATGATGACTGTGGAAAAATACCAATTTATTCGATACAACTATTCAACTATTCAACTAAACGACAAATAATAATATAAGTAATTTTCGGAAAAAAATAACCTTCATAAACATTAAAATGTCATCAATGAAATGTTTTTGTTTCATCCAAAAAATAAGTTAAACGAATAAAAAGAAAAACATTTGTAATGAATCAAAATAAATTCTATTTTATTTCATTCTATTTTTGTTTTGTTTATGAAGACAAAAAAAACCAAAAACCTAAACATCCACACGACCAATGAACATCAGTTTCATTTTTTTTCATAGAATTTAAAAACTTTTCATTCCATGTTTTTTGGTTTTCATTTTTATTGGTTTGAAAAATAAGAAACACAAGACAAGAAAAAAAATAGTAAAAAGAAAGAAAATTCTGCAAATTGCTTTCATTTCAAACAAAATGAATGAATGAATGAATGAATGAATGAATGAATGAATGATAGATAGAAAAGATTGGATAGAGAATTTTTCAAAGTCCATAGCTTTAAAAAAAACAAGTTACAAAAAAGAAAGAATGAAACGAAACGAAAAAAATGAAGAAAAAGAAGAAAGTTAAATTAAAAAGTTGTCAGTGTAACTGCCAGAAACAAAAAAAAACCAAAAACAAACAAAACGGGGAAAAATAAAGAAAATTTCGTCATGAAACTTTTTTTTTTTGGTTGTTGTTTCAGTAACAGCAGCAACAGCAGTTGTGACTTTGTGTTTTCTTTTCTTTTTTGGTTTCGTTTCTTGGATCGGTCGAATGGACCCGATGGGACAACTTTTTTTCTTCCAATTTTTTTTATTTGACAAAAAATTTATCTGCAGTTGATAGTAGTAGCCATGTTTATATATGTATGAACGTAAACAATGATGATCCAATGGACAGCAAATAATTTTTTTAAAAAGTTTTTCTCTATCTATTCAAACATACAGAAAAAATATATAATACATAGTTAATAGGAAATGATAACGATTATTGATTTTTTTTGTTGTTGTTAGATTTCAAGTATGAAAAAAAATCATTTGTAACATTAAACCTATCCGACAAATCGAATGTTTAAACGCGATTCAATCGAGTGGAATATCAATGAGCAAAAATTTGAAATAAACAATCAAAAACTTGCACCTCTCTGGTGAAATGAAATTTTAGAAAAATTGAAACAACAAAAAACAACAACAATGATTTCATGAATGAAAGATAAGAAATGGATGTAGAATGTGTTTGAAACAAAATTTGTTTTCTTTTTTGCAAAAATCAAAATCATCATGAATCTTGTTGTTTTCGAAACAACTATTTCTTCCCCACTCTATTCTCGTTTTGACATATTTGCATTTTCATATTTAAAAAAATAAACTATCACGATCTAAAGCAAAAAAAAAAACATCATATATTCATTCATTTTGGATCATGTTCTTAGCAATAACCACTATAGTCATATGCTATTCAAATGGTCAAACTGTATAGATTCATATTCATATCTTTAGTTTCGAATCTTCCATTTTTCTTTTACTTTCAACATTATATTCGTTGATTCTAAAAAAAAACAAGAGCAAAGAAGAAGAAAAAAAAAACAGCAAAAGCATGTATATTTTGTTGGTGAGTGGTATATCATGTTTTATAATAAAAATGGATCGTCATTTCATCATCACATTTTGTTTTTGTTTTCTTTTTTGGTCATTCTTATTCTTTCCCACTTCCTCTTTTTTTCAAAATTGAGTTTTCTTGCCGTTGTTTCTTCAATATGTTGTTGTTGTTGTTTTATAAGATGTTATTATTGTTGTTGTCGCTAAGCAAGAATCAAAAACTAAATGAAATGGAATTTCATTTTATCGTTGAAAAAAAAAATTCACAAATATTTTATAAAACAAGCGAATAAACAGAAAAAAAATCAAGATGGATCCGTTAGCCTAACTGAAGAGATATTTTTCTTAAATTTTACAACAACAAAAATAACATTGTTCTCAGCTCTGTAATTATTTTTATTTTTATTTTCTAATTTCATCGATTTTACTGTCCAACAAACGACATTATTTATCTATAGTCCACAATTAATTCATATATCAAAAACAACAGCAAAAGAATGATGATGGTGTATCGATTTTAATTGAATTATATCATTGGTCATCATCTTCTAATATTATATTGATCGAATTGATATAAGATTTTATTTACGAAAATTAATAGTATTTGTAATATATCTATTAAAGAAAGAAAACAAAAACAAAGTTGCATTGATAATCGATTTTGATAACAAATAACATTGAAAACAAACAAACAAAAACAAAAAAATTGCCCATTCGATCGAATATTATCCGTAATATTAGTGAGAATCAACCAAACAAACAAAAATAAACCAGAAAATTTCAATTATTAGCTTTGCGATCAAAATTAAATCCAAGCCCCTACATTCCCCAAAAACAACACACAACATTTTTTTTGTTTGTTATTTATTTAAGTATGAGGATGCAATTTTCAAAATGATAAAACAATTATATACATTAAATCATTAGAATCGAATTTATTTTTGTTCGAATCGAAAAAAACAACACTGTAGATTACGAATGAAATGAGTAAAAGAACAAATCTGACAGCCAAAAACAAAAACTCGGCAAAAAAAAGAAGATAGAATTTGCACATGGAAATGATGAATAAATCTTCGCGTAGACACAAGACGGATCACTACTCCGTTTTGTTGTGAAATAAAACATCTGTATCATCATCATCATTTCATTTGTTTGATTTGATTTTTGTTTCTTTTTAGCTCTTTTTCTTTCGTCGTGTTCTTGTTCATTGCAAAATTTGTGAATAGTAAAGGACATTTCACAGGAAGAAAGATTTATATATTGAAACATGAATGGGAAAACCATTCGAATTAATACTTCTATGCAAACTTGGATTCTCAATTCGGTCATACCAAATACCGATAAAATTCGATTCAGCTATATATCCAGCCGTATGGTTTGAAGCAAATCGATTTATGGAATCATTTTATTTGTTCTTTTTTTTCCTGTTTTTTATTTTTACCCAGAAGTGGTCTCGATACGAGAATCGATAATTCATTTTGTCTCATATCAAACATTCCAGAAGGCAAATTAATGAGAAATACAAGATGATAAATAATGAGTGAAAACGAAAATTCCAAATAACCGACCAAAATTCTGATTAAGCAGTGAAAGATTCAATAATTTACACCGATCACACATTGCTATGTGAAGTTTTTGAAGAATGACAAAAGTATACATTTATACTTTCGTCATATTTATATTTGCCATAAATAAAATTCATTTGAACATTCATTTTTGATAATATTAAACTAAAATATTGAAAAATTTGAAATTATGAAAGGAAAGGGCGAATTATAATTCTTGCGATTAGAACAATGGCCATTATGTAACATCCTCAATGAATGGTAGGTGAGCGCGCCAAATATATTAATACAATGGGTCTGATATTGTCTGTTTGGATTCATTTTGGCGCACAATTTATCTCCACGTTTAGTATTCTTGCAAGCATGCATGTGCATTGAACAGCTGTAGCTATTTGTACCAAATTTTATATTCTAAATTTTGTTGCCATATTTTTTATTTGATCAAGATGTTTGTGGTCAAACGAGATGGACACCGAGAATCGGTGATGTTCGATAAGATTACATCACGTGTACGAAAACTTTGCTACGGATTGAACATGCAATTTATCGATCCGACCCTTATTACGATGAAAGTACGTGAAATCATATTTAGATATTCATGGTATTTAAAATTGCCTTTTATTCAAATAGGTCATGTCTGGGCTGTATTCAGGTGTTACAACCAAAGAATTGGATGAATTGGCAGCTGAAATCGCAGCTACATTGACCACCGAACATATTGATTACGCCATTCTTGCTGCCCGAATTTCCATTTCGAATTTACACAAAGAAACTAAGAAAAACTTTTCCGATGTCATTCATGATTTATATACGATGAGCAATGAGCATACTGGTCTGCCAACTCCAATCATAGCGAAAGAAATTTATGATATCATAATGGCCAATTCAGAACGTATTAATTCGGCCATAATCTATGATCGTGATTTTAATTACAATTATTTCGGTTTCAAAACATTATATCGAAGTTATTTGCTCAAAATTGGCGGTAAAGTTGTAGAAAGACCTCAGCATATGTTGATGCGTTGTGCTATTGGTATTCATCGTGATGATATTGATGCTGCCATTGAAACATATAATTTGATATCGGAAAATTGGTTTACACATGCATCACCTACGTTGTTCAATGCCGGAACAAAACGGCCGCAATTATCATCATGTTTTCTGCTCACTATGAGTGATGATAGCATTGAAGGTATATATGATACGCTTAAACAATGTGCCATCATCTCAAAATCAGCTGGTGGCATTGGTCTTAATATTCATTGTATCCGATCTTCTGGTAGTTATATTGCCGGTACAAATGGAATCTCTAATGGCTTGATTCCTATGCTACGCGTATACAATAATACTGCTCGATATGTTGATCAAGGTGGTAACAAACGTCCTGGAGCATTTGCCATCTATCTGGAACCATGGCATTCTGATATCTTTGATTTTCTAAGTCTTCGCAAAAATACCGGTTCGGAGGAACTACGTGCACGTGATTTATTTTATGCTCTATGGATTCCTGATTTATTCATGAAACGCGTAGATCAAGATGGAATGTGGTCATTGATGTGTCCGCATGAATGTCCCGGGTTATTTGATTGTTGGGGTGAAGAATTTGAAAAACTTTATGAAGGTTATGAAAATGAAAAACGATATCGATCACAATGTCGTGCTCGTGTTCTTTGGTTTGCTATTCTTGAATCACAAATCGAAACTGGAACACCATACATGGTTTACAAAGATCATTGTAATCGAAAATCAAATCAACAAAATCTCGGTACAATCAAATGTTCGAATCTTTGTACCGAAATTGTGGAATATTCATCTAAAGATGAAGTAGCCGTCTGTAATCTAGCTTCAATCGCATTGAATAAATTTGTTGATCCAAAAAAACGAATCTTTGATTTTGAAAAATTGAAATCCATTGTCAAGGTTGTAACTCGTAATCTGGACAAAGTTATCGACGTGACTTACTATCCTGTACCAGAAGCTCAACGTTCGAATCTTCGTCATCGACCAATGGGAATCGGTGTTCAAGGATTAGCAGATGCGTTTATTTTGATGCGTTATCCATTCGATAGTGAAGAAGCTCGATTGCTCAATATTCAGATTTTTGAAACAATTTATTATGGATCATTAGAAACGAGTTGTGAATTAGCCCAAGAAAAAGGTCAATATGAAACTTATGAAGGATCACCAGTATCTAAAGGCATTCTACAGTTTGATATGTGGAATCGAAAACCAACAGATCTTTGGGATTGGAATGATTTGAAATCTCGAATCGCTAAATATGGAATACGAAATAGTTTGCTTGTGGCTCCAATGCCAACAGCTTCGACTGCACAAATTCTTGGCAACAATGAGTCTATCGAACCTTATACAACTAATATATACACAAGACGTGTTCTTTCTGGAGAATTTCAGGTTTGTCTGTTGATAATTAAGTTATGTGATTTTATATTTAAATATGATTTTAGGTCGTAAATCCACATCTTATACGTGATCTAACTGAATTAGGTCTTTGGAACAATTTGCTTAAAATGAAAATAATATCATCCAAAGGTTCGATTCAAAATATTGACATTATTCCGGAAGATATTCGAAACTTGTACAAAACTGTTTGGGAAATACCACAGAAAACGATTGTCCAGATGGCTGTTGATCGTGGTGCCTTTATCGATCAAAGTCAATCATTAAACATTCATTTTGCTGAAACCAGTATCACAAAATTGACATCAATGCATTTTTTTGGTTGGCGTTCAGGATTGAAAACCGGAATGTATTATCTACGTACAAAACCAGCTGCGCAAGCTATACAATTTACGGTTGATAAATCCAGAATACGTATGAAAGGATCGAATGATGTAATCGATAAAGGTGAAAAATTGAATGATTTTACAATAATTAAAACACGTGAAGAAAGACAATTAGCAATGGCCAAACTTGAATGTTCATTAGCCAATAAAGATGAATGTTTATTGTGTAGTTCATGAATAAATGTTTTCATTTATCTCCATACTGTCCATGAAATTATCGATTCCACATGAGATTATTTTTAATTATTTAATTTCAAGTTTACCTTAAAATGTACATCTTTTTTGTTTCAATTATAATTTTTCCTGAATAAAAATCATTAATGATGTGTTCATTAATTTGATGATTAATTTTCTAATTTATTTTGATAGCGAAAGTATTACTTCTATATTTTCTAGCATTCAAGAGCATCTGTAACTGCATATATAGTTTTTTATATATAACCAATGCAATATGAAGCCGGTGTGTGTGTTGGGTGTACGTGCACATGGTACATTTTCTGATATCCATCGGTTGACCTTCAAAAACAAAAAAAATTCATTATTTTATAACACGTTGTGTGAAGCGCATGTTCAATATCAGGATGCATGATGAAAGATTATCAAATAAAAACAACATAACAGAAAAAAATACAATCCAGTATCTATCGATAGAACTCAAATATATCAGTTGATGTTGAGCAAATAATTTTACTGTATTATTTTAAACATTAAAAAAGGTGAATATATTGGAAATAATTGTTTTTTGACGTTACGTGTATTAAAAGAAGGTGTATCATTAATTTTTTTTTCATTTCAACCGTTTGATTAGAGATGATAGTATAAAATACTTTTCCTCTTAATATCATGCTCTATATAAATTGCTGATGAAATATTTTTTTTTTTGAGAAAAATCCAGTTTATCAATCTTTATTCATTAAAACATTATCAACATATTTAATTATTGGTAATTTTCATTTGCGAAATTCGGGTTGAAAACTAATGTGATCAATTATATGTTGTTTTTGTGGTAAGTCGATATATTTTGTTCTTTTTGAAAATGACTTTCTTTGGAAACAAATTGGAAAACAAAAATTGTAAAACAAATTTGTTCCATCATCAGTTTTTTTGTCGTGAGGCTTTTTAAAAAATGCCGTATAGATCAAATTTTTCCATGTTATTTATATTCGAATCTTTTTTTCGAATGTTTATGATCATTTTAGATTTATATCTGTTTTCTGTAATGATTATCGATGAATTTTCCCTTATTTTTCTGTAATGATGGAAAACTATGGAAAAAATTTCTGATGAAATAATCTTTACAAGTAATATCAATGTCTAATTAGATAATAATGCTAAATGTTGGCCTTGATTTTATCATTGATGAGTTTCGATATATGAATCCATTGGTTAAAGTTATGATGATTATGAATCTTTGATGATATAATTTTTTTCATGTTTATAATGGAATTGATTCATTTAATTATAGTTAAATATCATTCATTTTGATTCGTGAGGAAAACAAATCAAAATTGATTGTCAATTGCCAAAAAAAAGGAATATGGATCCCAAGTTGTGGACATAAGAAATTGGTTACATGTGATCCACTTTTATCATCCGCTGTGCACTAGATTGGGTACTTTTATTTTAGTCTAAATGTACATTTTGATCGCCAAATATTATTGTAAATAAATATGACAACAACAGCAACAACAACAAAATTCCCCGTTTCGAAAAATTTGTCTGTTTTAAAAAAGAAAATTCTCTTTTTAAGCTAAAAGTGTCTATAATGTAATTAACGGATTAAATAATCTTTACATTTTTAAAAATTACAATTTTCATGGCCAAAAATTCCGATTAGTTTTTTTGTGATAATTTGAAGGCAATTAGGATATTCACAAAAAAAAAATAAATAAAACCCAAACCAGTGATGAGAACAAGATTAGCCAATCTCATTATTTTGATTGATAAACTAATAGATATGATAATTGATTGTTTGCATTTTTTTGGCTGTTTTGAAAAATCTCATGATTTGCATTTTTGGCACTTGTTTGAATCAGCAAATTATTAATTTATTCAATAGAAATCAATTATCAAACGAATTGATTGTCATCGAAATTTAATAATAATTTCTTTATGGTAGAAAACGAATTTCTTGTAAATCATATGCAATAATTTATTAGCCATTTATCATTTCCTATTGTAATTGGTCACTTTTTTTGCATGACATTATTACACATTGTTTATTGAAAAAATGAAATATTTTTTTTCATGGTTATCCTCTGTACACAATATATGAGTACCTGTATTATTCGTTCAAGTTTGTTCGTTATCAACGAATGCATAAATCTCAATGATAGAAAAAAAACTGGTCGCATGATTGATTAAACTTCCGAAATAGAAAAGAAATGAAATGAAAGGAAAATAAATAATATCCGTTAATGTCAACTGATACATTTTTTCTGTATAAATAAATGAAAATGTATGATTTATTATTTCAGTTTGGTGCGTTTACATGTATACTTAGATAATTTGTATCTTGCATGGTACGTACGTTCTCGTGTTCTCTCGTAACAATTTACTTTTATATTTTGATTTTGATTGAGGGTTTATTTGGTATATCAATTGCAAATCATCCAATCAATCTAATGCTACTGCTGTTATTGATGGTATGCAAATGAAAACCTTTTTCTTTTTTTTCTAATTCATCTATCACAATTTTGACTTTTGATAATCAATTTTGATTTCGATTTTTTTTCGAATCAAATTGATAATCAATAATTTTCGAATTAATTGATGTATAGGTTTCTTTGTTTCATTTGTTTTTCTCGTGATTAAAGTTAAATGACGAATCAAATTTTTTCCATATATATTCTGTTACAATTTTCAATGATCAATCACTAGTCTGCATTGATGACAAGTCTTGAATTCATATTTTCATTACATATGACTTTGTGATATTTATTATTATTAATTAATTAATAATTTGACTTTAGCCATTTTGTTATTTCTCAAAACGATTATATTGTTGATAATCAATTTTTAAAATCTGAATTGTTATTTGTTAAAAAAAAAATTCAATTTGATCGTAAGTATACTGTTTATCATCATTTTTTGTTCATTTGTTATTTGTCTTTGTAATTCAATCAGAATTTGAATGTATTTTTTTCTGTGATTGGTAATTTTTGTTGTACATCCATAACGGAAATCCTTTTTTTTCTACTTTTTGTTTGTGATATATTTTATTTGGGCAATTAAATTAATTAAATTTTGTTCTTTTTTTTTCATTCTCTTATCAAATATTTTTTAAAAATAGTTTTTAGTTCATTTAGAATTTATTTTTTCGAATTACTTTCATTTGATAATCAAACTATAATCTCAAACAACAACAATCAAACAAAATGCCGCCATTTATCAAAACAAATGTCAATGATGTACTTGACAGTGATATTCCTGATTTAGAGCCAAGTGTTGAATTGAAAGGTGATTTGAACGATTTATTGGAAGCACAGAAAAATCAAAAATCGGAAAAATTACAAATCGTATGGCGTAATGTATTCATAATGGGTCTTCTTCATATTGGTGCCGTTTATGGTGCTACATTATGCTTCGGCACGGCTAAATGGCAGACGGTCCTTGCAGGTATGTATTTCATTTTATGACATTTTCTTTCATCAATTGATTTACATCTTTTTTTCTTAAAAATTAGGATTTATTTTTTATGTTCTTTCTGGATTGGGTATCACGGCCGGTGCTCATCGTCTTTGGTCTCATCGATCTTATAAAGCTAAATTTCCATTGAGATTATTTTTAGCTTTTCTACAAACGATGGCCGTACAAGTATGTTTGTTAGTTTTTTAAATTAATAAGCCTTATTGAAATTATTTTCGATTCAATTATTCATCCAGAATCATATCTATGAATGGTCTCGTGATCATCGAGTTCATCATAAATATTCGGAAACAGATGCTGATCCACATAATGCCAAACGTGGTTTTTTCTTTGCCCATGTCGGTTGGCTTCTTTGCCGTAAACATCCTGAAGTTATCCGTAAAGGTCGTACAATCAGCAATGATGATTTACTTCGTGATCCGATTGTTGTATTCCAACGAAGGTATGTTCCATTCTTATCAGAAAAAAATGCCCAACAAATAGAAATATTTTTTTCATCATTAAATTAATTTTCTTGTCTATCTTATTCCATAGATATTATATTCCATTGTTATTGTTCTGTTGCTTCATTTTTCCATCATTGGTACCATTAATGTGGGGTGAAACATTATGGAATGCATTTTTTATTTGTGCTATATTTCGTTATGTATGGACATTGAATATGACATGGCTTGTTAATTCAGCCGCACATTTTTGGGGACGTCGTCCGTAAGTTTAATTCTTTCTAATCATTTTCTTTTAATCATCTTTATATTTAAACATCAATTTGTTTTTTTAATAATTTTCCCTATAGATATGATAAGACCATCAATCCAGCCGAAAACTATCTCACAGTATTTGGTGCCGTTGGCGAAGGTTTCCATAATTATCATCACACATTTCCATGGGACTATAGTACATCAGAATTGGGTTGGCGTTTAAATCTAACAACTATTTTCATCAATACTATGGCTTTTATTGGGCAAGCATATGATCTGAAACAAGTTTCGCCCGAAATGATTATTAAACGTAAACTCCGTACTGGCGATATTGATACTCATGGTAATTATGGTATTTATAATCCACCAATGATGAAGGAATTGGCTACTTCAAGCAATGGTATTGATGTTGAACACAAAAAACAAAATTGATTCCACTTTTATAACTGTTCGTGTGTGAATGACCAAAAGAAAAAACCTAGAATCCTCTACAGAATTTTTTTTTGTTATTCATTCAAGTAGTGATATAAACTTCATTCAATTCACAATCACTAATCAATGTTTAAAAAAAGGATGAAAGATTGACAAAATAGGTGTGTGATGAACGAATACCGGTGATTGGCACGAAAATTTTTGTTATCCATTTTTTTTCACAATTGTTTGATTGTTTTTAAAAAAATGTTTTCTTTGTGCACACTCTCATACACACACATATTTTCAAATCTTCTTCTTTTTTTTCAGCAGAGATTTTCTCTCAAAAAAACAGTTATTAACAACAACAAAAATTTCATTTGAAATTCATTTTTCCACTAAATAATCGAAGAACAATATCTATTAAATTTGAATTATGAAATTTTTAAATAAAAAAATTGACGTTTTTATTTTGTTATGTTTTTGATTTGCAATGCGCGCATTTAGATGTATACTGATTCAAAATTATTTCATTGACGAAAAAAATCATCAATCAAGGAAGTCAACCAGTTTTTATGGGCCAAAATAATGCAATGAATCAATCAATTCCATCACCAAATACACATAACTGAATATTAATATTTATTTGTTTTTATCACAAAGATATGTAATTCGTGCCTTTGGGGCTTTGTTTTTTCCCCTTTTATCAATTTTTTTTCGAATTTAAAATGAATTTTTTTTCAAAATTGAAATAATTTAATTTCCAAAGATGGCAGCACTAGCCTTAGCAATTTCATATTTATCATCAGTACAATCGGGAAATTGTTGTCGACATTGATGACATTCATTTTCGGGTGTTGATGCCATTTTATAACCAGCAATTGCTGCATTATGAATTATATCGATTGATTTGGATTTATTTGGATCACCTTTCATTAATGTTGATTCAGATGCCGGTGGTTCGACCATGTTCATGCCCAATTCAGTAATGGTCATTGAATACAATTGGCAAGTATTTTCGCAGCTTACCAATGAATAACAACTTGTCAGATTGGCACGTTCGACAAAATGCATTGAATAGTGATAGTATAACATTTCTGGACTAAGATTTTGAGGTAATTTTGGTGTTAAATCAACGAATGAAACATTTGATTCGATCAATTTTCGATACAAAGCATTGATTCGAACAGTGTAAGCATAATTCAATGGTGGACATGATGCTGAATATTGATTTTGACAATTTAGACAAGCTGATCGAAGACCTTTACCACTGTTAGCTTTTGCATTACGAGCGAAATCGATACCTTTCTTAGATGCTTGCATGATGACCTTAACGAAATCGGGTGTTTCATCATCTTCCTCTTTTTTGTTCGTTGTTTCCATTGTAGATATAAATTGATCGATAACAGTTTTTTCGCGGCTTTTTTGTTCAGCCGTTCTTTCGGGCCATGAATAACAATGTTCATTACAGGCAGACATAGCAAGACAATTTGTCATATTGGCTTCATTGATGAACGCAAGATTTTGAATGAACAAATCTGAAACATGAACTTCATTTGGTACGGTTATATTCATTTGATTCGTTGCATCCGGATTATAATGCAAAAACGGTAAAGATGTATCACTATTGTCAACAATATCTTTGACCAATACAGAGATTGAATTCTTTAAACGAATACATTTTTTCAAATTTGATTCATACACCTGATCTGGTCGGCATAAAGTCGACTGTGATCGTGGGGAACGGCTTCGTGCATCAATCGATAATGATGATAATCCAATGATCAATAAGATCCAGCAAGCATTAAATCCATGAACAGTGATACCCATTCTTATTCTTTATTAATTGATGATTGATCAAAATCAGATCAACAACAAGAAAAACAGAATACCTGTATAAAGTAAGTTTTTTGATATATGAAATGAACAATAAAAAAGAAAAGAAAATTAATTCGAATATTACCGATGATTTCGTGAATTGTTTCGTTAAACCAGATACAATATGATGATAAAACAAAATTGAAGATTCAATACACTGACTGATCAATGTGATAGAATGACCCGAATAAAATGTTCGTACATCGTCTTTTAAACATTTTTTTCTCGCGGTTATTATGACACATTGATGGGGGCGTCAGCGGATGCGGTTTTTTTTCTTCTTATCAATTTGTCTCTGTTGTTCTTTATTTTTTTTCCATTTGAATCATTTTTGTTGTCTTAGTTTCTCTTTTTTATATATTTCAAATGTCCAAAAAAGTTCCAAAATGATGATGATGATGATAAAAAAAAAATTGTAAAAACTCTTCAAATCTGATTTTTCTTTTATTTTTTTTTGTCAAAAACGACGAATCCATTGGGAAAAAATATCGAACGACCTGAAAATATTTTGTGTGAAACTGTGTGAATGAGAAAAAGAAGATGTGACGGGAGAAACAAAAAAAATAAATCAAAGATAAGTTCCTTGTTTTTCCACTTTTTTTCTGTTGTAATATCAGTTCAATATTTTTGTTCTGTTGTTGTTCCATTTCATTATTTGTTTGTTTTTTTTTTGGTCAAATTCGAGAGATGATGATGATGATGATGGAAATTATTGTCAATCAAAAATATAATACCAAATGGAACATGATTGAAAAAAAAGATATAATCAGCATCATTATGTACAGAGAATTTGAAAAATGGTATGATTATATAAATAATGATGCTGATGATGATGACAATGATTGACAGGCTTACGACAATCATAAGATGAATAAAAAAACGGGTGAATCATTCCATTATATATATAATAGATCCTGTCTGTCGTTTTATCAATCGAAAATTGAAATTTTTTATTTATTTCTATGCTAGAAAAATTGAACTAGTTTTTTTCCATATTTTCTTTACAAACGGAAATATTCATTTTTTTATGGTTTTTTTTCCTTAACTGTAATAATAATCTTCAAGACTTGATTATGATTTTGTTTTCTTTTTCATTTTTTTTTCATTTGGGCGCTCAATTCAGTCAGTTTTTTTCTGTCAGTCAGTTAATTTTATTTTCCACTATTTTTACATTATTTTTTGTTTATGAATTCACATAATAACCGACATAATAAACATTGCCATCACATTATTTGCAGTTCATGTATAGCGGGAAACAAAAACAGAAATGCAAAAAAAAAGTTATAAAAAACAGAGTGAAAAATGGTACCGATTGAATTTTTGAAAATTTCAACGAAAAAAAAACAAATTTGGAACAATCCATTCATTCATAAAGATATTTTGGAAATGACAATGGCAAACTAATGTAAAAAACGATAATGATGATGATCCATCATAGATGTAGATGATAATTGTGACATTCATAATGATGATAATGATGACGTTGTAATCAAAAGAATTCAATTTTGCACCTAATCATCATCATCATTATTCATTCAATTTTGTTCTTTTTTGATTGATGGTGAAAAACAACTAATATAGAAGTTTCTGAATATATTTCCTGAATTTTTTTTTCAATAAATAAAATTTAATTTTTTCGTAAAACAAAATGAATGATCATCACATATTGTTTTATTGATTTTATTTTATTTTTTTTCCTTTATAAATTAGTTTTGTATAAAATTTAAATCTTTCTATATGTTTGTAGGTGTGTGTGTGTTTATTATTTTAATAAAAAATCTTCAATAAATAAATCATCAAGTCAATTTCATTTTATTTGAATAGAATAATTACAAAAAAAAAGTAATGATGACCCAAGATGATTATATAATCATGTTGATATTTTTATTTCTCCAAAATGAACTCAAAAAATACAAACAGTAAAACAAAAACAAAAACTTTGACATTTGATTGATTCAATAAGATTCGGGAAATTTTCTATCGGGAAAATCCTGTTTCTAAACATTAACTATTCGAAAATAATCCTTTGAAAATATATAATCTTGATTTTCGGAAAAAATCTAATCATTTAAATAGTGAATCGAAAATAAATTTAAATAAATTACTATAGTATTATTTTCATTTTCGTTTTGTTTTCGATTTAGTTTTTTTCATTTCAACAAAATTTTCCGAACCTGTTGTAGAAATCTTATTTCATGTTAACCATACAAAAATATCCCCGAAGCATGACTGATAAATTTTATAAAAATTTGATTTTGAATTCAAGAAAATTGAATTTAAATCAATGAGAAATTATTTAAAGAAAATCATCAACAACAAAAAAAACTGGCAATCTCAAACATTCAATTGAGCTAATTTGTCCGATCCCGTTTTTTGTTCTCATTGGATATCACGAAAAAAAGGAAATTTTCTGTATTCAGAATGGAATACCTGGGCTAATTTTGTTACTTATATCATTGAAATCAGTATAGAGAAAAAAAAATCGATCAAGGAAACGATGTGATGATATGATGATGTAATGGCGACTAGATTCGATTCGATCGCTATATGATCATGATGATGATGATGATAATGATGATTGTATGATGAATATTGCTTCTCGTTTTCTTATTATGATGAATGAACGAGTCAAGCCAATTAACGTATAGGATAAAAATGAAAGAAAGTAAGAAGAAAAATAAATAATACCGGAAGAAAAATGATTGCCCGCTTACTTGTTCGTTTCTTCTTTCGTTCGTTCGTTCGTTTGTTGGCCAACTTGTTCGGTTATTTATCAGAGTGAAAGTAGGATCACGAGATTGTGGAAAAAACTATGTTGTTGTTGTTTTTCTGCTTTATTTCTCAAATCTATCAGAGCGAAACTAGCTTAAGTAAGTGAAATCGAGATGTTCAATAATAATGAAATAAGAAATGAAATTTTTTTAAATGAGAAGAGAAAATAAAGATTGTTGTTAGTACATGCTGCTGATGACATAACAATAATAATAATAATGAATAAAAAAATGAATATTACAGTAGTTTTTCGGTTTCTAATGAATGATTTGTTGTTCCAAGATATATGACCATCATTTTGAATTTGGTTGTTTGTGAATGTTTATTGATATGGATAAATTTTATCTTTGTTTTAAATCGATAGCTGAAAAATAAAATTATTCTATTACACAAAATGAATTCTTCGATATTTGATCCGAAAAATTGCTGAAAAAAGAGAGAGAGAGAGAGAGAGAAATTGTCATCCCCAAATGATGTCATTTGATTATTGACCATTATCCTTATATTATTTTTATTACTGCTACCTTGTTTTTCTATTTTTTTTTGTTGTTTCTATCATCATCATTATTATTATTACATTTGATTTTTTATCATCTAATGAGAAAATCAAAATTAAAAAAAAATTTCTCCATTATTTGCTGTTGTTCAAGACCAAAAGATGATGAAAAAAATGAATTTTTCAAATGTTTCACCTTTGATGATATTTTTTTGGCAATAATAATGAGGATGATAATTATTATGATTAGAAAAATCAGTCATACTTGACTCGTTGAACTCTGTCGTTATTATTATTATTATTTTCAATTTACGTTTTGTTTTTTTTTGAAGGTGATATATTAATTTTTATATGCAAAACGCATGTGAATGCAATGACATTTTTAAAAATTATTTGACAAAACAAAAAAAAACTCTTATATAATGATCATTATAAGTTGAAAACATGAATTAAGCTAATTGTTTTCATTCAAAGTTCCGGTCATCATTATAATCATCAGTATCAATGGTATTATATTTGTCAAATGATTATATCATTGATTATTCCAATTGATTGATTGATTTGAAAAAAATGTCTTCAGAATCATTCATTCGATCAACGATCGATCATTAATGCAATGACAATTTTTTTTGGAAAATTTACCTGGTTCACTTTCATCATCATCATTATCGAAATTGATCAAGTAGAAAATACTCATGTCCATCATCATCATCATAATCATCGTTAACATCGATCAATCATTGCACATAATATCATTTTGATCATTTCAATTGTTTTTCTCTCTTTCTCAATTTCTTTCTTTCTTTTCGGTTCAACAACATTCACTGTGAAGTATTTATTTATTGTCATCATAATATCAATTATAATGATTATATATCAATAAGCAACGATTTTTTCTTTTTTTTCGTTGTTTTACCATAATAATCAATTTTATGTCATCGGTTTTTCCTTGGGCAAATATTGGAGAAATATGATTTTTTTATTGATGTTATTATTATAATCATATAATAAAATGAAATAATGTCAACATTAAATTTAATAACAATAACAACAACTATAAGCATCATTTTTTTTGAAAGAAATTATATTAATTATTTGTTGGTTTTTTCATTATCAAAAATTTTGTCATCAGGAGAAAAGTCCATTCGCTTAATGTGTGTATTTTTATTTGTTATTTGTTTTGCCATCAATCAGTGAAACGATAGAGTTAAAGCTAATCATCATTGTCATCATCATCGTTGGAAAAAAATCAAATCAAATTAATGAAAAAAGAGACAATGATTTCATCATTATAATCATAGTGCATGTTCAAATTGTGTTTAAAGTTTGTTGTTTTGTTCATCATCATCATATTTCTTTTTCTTTTTTTAAATTCATTTCTAATGTTTGTCGCTTTTTCTTTATTATTATCCTCATCATCAAAATATTCAGCATGATCTTCAATTATCATTATATCGAATAATGAATTATTCCTGTATTGGTTTGTATGTAATTCACAATCAATTCGATTCGATTCAAAATCAATCAATAATTTATGATATTTTCTTTATCATGATGAAGAATGATTTCTAAATACTCGTTTCGAATCTATATTATCAGGTAGGATTACTTTGTATTTTAAAAATAAATAGAAAAAATAATTATTCCTGCTTTTCGTTTGCTTCAATAATTGATCAAATGATTATCGATGATGATGAAAATTACAATTATCATGCATTGATGCATGATAATTTCAAAGTTTTTGGATTACAAAATATTTATTTACACAGTGAAAAATTTGAACATTTTTTGGGTTACTTTTTGTTTGTTAAAAATAAAAATAAAAACACGTTTTTGTTGACATTTTTTTCTCTATATTTTATCAATCATTAATTATCAAATTTACATTCATTCATAGAAATTGTTCGATTAACTTGAATTTTTTTCATTGAAAGAAAACAAAACGGGAAGAAATTCTTCATTCATTTTCATTTCTTTTTTAATTCTCTTTAAATTTTACTCTGTTTGTGTTGTAATATCAGTATATTTGTTATAATAATCAAGGTATTCATTTGTTAATGATTATTAAATTCAAGATTTCATTGGTAATTATGTTAATGATAATGATGATGTTTTGTTCTTTGTTTTTATTCAAAAATAATCATCAACTCTTATATAATAATCATTAGATAATATCATTATAGTATTGTGAAAGATAGATACTTTGGATTGTTGCATATAATAATATAAAGTCTTCAGGCATGAATGAATCAAAATGAAAAGTGTTCAAAAAAAAGAAAAATTTATCTATACATTTCTCTCTCTCTCTCTCTCTTTTCAATTTTTGTTGTTGGTGATTTCGTTAGTATTTTTTCTTCACCAAATCACAATCACTCTATCCTATCCTATCTCATATCGTTTTAAAGTCTAAATTGAACTAAACTAAACTAAACTAAATTGAACAATGAAAATTTTTTTGTTGTTGTTTATTCGTTCAAATTTTCAGCTTAATAAAAAACACCTATACCTCAAATTTATGAATCCATGTGCGCGTGTGTCTTTGTGTTACTCTTTTACAAAATGTGAAATGGTCATTGATTTTGGTTATATAAGCCTAATGTAGGATTGAAAAAAAACTGGTAAATAATAGATTGATGGCTATTATGTGATGTTGATAAAATCATTATTAATTTTTCCAGCAACTTCGATGTCAGCAATGTGTATTTTAAACAGCTTGTATAAAATAAATCCCAGTGAAAATTTATTTGTTTTAATACATATTTCGTGGTCGATATTACTTTTTTTCATATAAAAGTTGGTAATTTTAATTCTACCCTCTCATATAAAAAGAAGATTTATTTCTTCTTTATTTAATAGATCGAATCGATTGATTGCTCGTATCATCAGTCGTCAAGCAACAACAATCCTACGTGAATAATTGTTCATCATGATATTCATTTTGTTGTACAGCATTCTATTCATTCTTCCATTGATCATCATTGTTTTATTTGTCTTCAATCGACGTATCAACAGGTGTGATCATCATGCAATGATTATTTTCAATATTCAACAATATTTTTCTATCAACTTAATTCGCACATTTTTTTCATGAATTCTAATTATAAAAATAATTAGCCTTTGGATGAGTTTTTGTTTTTCTCGATTGTTTTTCATTCAAAAATTTCGGATTTGTTAATGTTAAAAATAGCCTTCATATATTGCCTTATCATTTGAAACTTTTTTTTTGCCATCAATAGAATCAAATAGTTTAAGTGACTTTAATTGAGGGTATTTAGGGACTCAGGCGATCTATTTTCTAATAATTGACTAGCAGTCTTGCGTTTTTTCTCTTATTTCCTATGTTTTTCAATCTATCCCTTCGTATGTTTCATTAAATGTTCATCATAATGATGAAACTCGTTTTCTTACGTCATGTTATAAGATTTACTTCATTTCTTTTTTGGAATTGAGTATTGATCCAAATTTCTATTTTTCTCTATTTAAGATTTTATTCATCAACATCAACTACATCACAAATGGATCTGAACACGATGACAACGTTTCGTTCATTATTGTTGGGTGTTGTTAACAATAAAACATCATTTCTACAGAATGAAGATGTTACTTGCTTCTATCATCATCATCATAGTCATAATCATCATCATAGCGGTGGTAATGATGATTCAGATTCGGACAATAAACAATCCTCATCATCATCCTCATCATCATTGGTCGATAAACAACATCAACAACAAAAGATGGCTAACAATAAAAATGTTGACGTTTCTCAATTCAAGGTATATTAGATAGATTATACAATTGCCAATTGCTTTGTTTATGTTTGAGATGCAAAAAACATCATTGATTCGGATTTTTTTTTCCATATTATAGTCGATCAATATTGACTATTTATCAGCTAGTAATTTTTCCTTTCATCCATATCATTTGAACGTTAACGTTAATGTCGAAAAATCGCCGAAAAAATCCTTACTTGTGTTGTTTGCTTGGCTATTTGCTAAAGAACGACATCTGGACAAATATCGTCGTCTTTACATGGAACAAGGCTTTGATATATTAACTATTAAAGTGAATGTAAAAGATTTCATCATACCCGTGGTGGGCAGCCAAGTAATTGCATCGCAAGCATTACAATTTATTAAAGAACATGAACAAATTTATTGTTCACTTGTATTTCATGCATTTTCGGTTGGGGCCTATCAAATGGGCGAATTATTAGTCATGTTGAATCAAGAGCACAATAAAGAGGTGAAGAATATAGCAAGAAAATTGTTGAAAGGTAAATGATGAATGAGTGTTGGACATTGAAATATTCATACCTTGAAATTTTTGACGGTCATCGTTAATCCTTAATCCTTATGTGATAATAATGACGACAGGAATGATCTATGATTCAGCTGCAGATATCAACGAAGCTCCGATTGGACTTTCGAAGGCAACTACAACGAATCCATTACTGCAATGGGCGATATGTTCGTTATTGAATGCTCATTTCCGTTTTTGTTATAATCTAGCTACACGCCATTATTTAGCATCATCGGACGCATTACACCAGAATGAATTTCATTGTCCTTCATTGGTATTTTTATCTAAAGATGATGTTGTTGTCAACTATGTTGATCAATTAAAAACGGCTGAACAATGGCAACGGCGAGGTATCAGTGTAACGATGAAATGTTGGGATCAATCTCCTCATGTTAGTCATTTTTTCAAACATCCCGATGAATATCGATCGTTATTAATCGAATTCCTCAACAAAAATGTCACCGGCTTAATACAACAATGATAACGATCATCATCAATGAAAACATCAACGGACAAAAATTGTATCAATCATCGTCATCATCATAAAATAAAATGATTGACAAACAATTGAATTTTTATTGATGGTAATCGATAATAATATCAAACTAAACTCGTGACGATATACTCTGATTTTTTTTCATTTATCATCTACTTTTTTATCTGTGAATCACTTTGTTTTTATTATTTTCGTTTTAGATTACAAAGAATTTTATTATATTAATTTCAGTATTTTTTTCCCGCTTAATAACCATTCATTCGTCCGGCTGGTGATTGAACAAAAAATAAGTTATCAGTTCGAATATTTTGTACATTTTTATTTTACTTGTTATGATTTTTATAGAAAAATTAAAATTCATTTTTTTGCATCTTAATTTTTATTCAATTCGATAGAAGTTGCGAAAAAATTATACAGTTTGGCACGACAAGATCAAAGATGTTTATGCCTTTTTTTCTAGTAATCAACTTCAGCATTGGCATCCAATTGATCACAAACATTATCATTAATATTTTCTTCAACTGCAACGCAGACATTATATTGTTCATCAAAAATCAATGTCGATGGATTGCATTCAAACAGGGTACGTGAAAATCCACCTCGTGTTCCAGTTTTGTGGCAACGATAGAATTTATGACAATCATTTGGATTTCGGAAATAGCCTTCTTCTTCACAAATCAATGGTTTTGTCCATTCTGGTGGCATATCCTGAGAAAACCTGTTAATATCGGTTGATTTGGTACGTTGTTTGGCACGTTTTGAATTTGGAAATAATTCTGGTTTGGCTTTGCAACAATTATCCTCGCAATACTAATTCAGGATGACAAAAATATGGTTTGATTAATTTATTATATGAAAAACCTTGCAGGTTATACTTGCATGAAATGGACCACATCTAGTTCCAGATTCCATGAATTGTTCAAAAATTTCAACTTCATCATTACATTTTACAATGGAATCTTTCAGCGAGATATGCGGCGGATATGAACGGATAGCATTTATTTCTTCTTTTTCATCCGGCAATTCGTCATCAACACATAAGCCACATTCGATTTTGCATGGATTATGATAGGTATTTTGTCCGATGAAACTTAAATTTGCCGTTCCTGTGCTATTGAATCTAGAGAATAATGTCTTACATCGTGAAGATCGATCTTGTGGTGTTATGTACGGTGTTGGATACGCTGTTTATAATCAACAATAAAATTCAGATTAGATAAAATTGTTGAAAATAAATCAAGCTCACATACAAACTTCTTCTGGTCGATATCCTGGACATTGTTGTTGTGCTTGGCCCAATGATAAATAGATCTGTGACAAAACTGATGTAGCAATAAACAGGTAAGGTCTAAATGATGATGCAAGATACATGATTTGGTAAGTTTTGATCTTCAATATATAAAAAATTGAATCGAAACGTTCTATTTTTTTCAAGATACTCGAATGGAATGAATGAAACAGAACAAATGACAGTGATAGTCAAATCGATCATGATATCATCTTTTAACGTGGAACATCTCAAAAAACAATCTATTTGGTACGATGATAATAAAAGAGAAACCTGCTAGTTCATTATGCACATGAGATAAAGTTTGATTTTTTTTGTTTCGTTTATTTTTTCTAGTTTATCATGAATTTATTTTTAGATTTAGCAATGATTTTTTTTCATTTGAATAGAACAACGTTACATGGTGGCCACGACCAGTTTGTTTTCTCATTACTTCGACAACAATAATAATGATACATCAAACGATGACCTTGTTCTATGTTTTTTTGGATCATCATCAGCATGATAATGAATTTTGATAGCAAACATTATAGATAGGACACATTCGAAAAAATTTTATTTTCGATTTTAGACATTTGTGAAACTCAAAGAAAATCAAATCGCTATAAAATGATCAAGAGAAAGGAAAAAATAATTAATTTTTTCCATTAATCATATTTTTACTTAAAAATCATCATCAGATATTTGACCTAGAGAAACCTTGGATGATGGTCGTCCTTCAGCAACAAAACACACAAACAATATCGCAGACAAGACCATTTCGAATCACAACACCAAAAAATAGAATTATAAACAAACAAAAAATTGAATTCGAAAAAAATTCGAATTTTAAATTTAATGTGCGTATATTAATATTTAATATTTTTATCAAATAAATAAAATCATTAACATAATAATTATTAGGATTCAGAAAAACTGAATGCAATCAAAGCCATGAGAAGAAAGCCAGCAAATAGCAAAGATATTTTACGTAGTTTCAATGATAATGGTTCATTATGATTGAAATGATTGTTATGATCATGATTAAGATCAATTTCGATCAATTGTTCTTCATTTGTTGATTGTAAAATTGAATCATCAGGAACAAGATTTGGCCTTTCTGAATGGTTTTCATCATTATTCGATTGATGATTGTGATTTTTATCATCATGTTTATGGTGTTTAGTATCACTGATATGTATAAACTCTTCGGGTATCAATTCAAAAAAGGTAACATGAATAAAGGTTCCAGCCGCAAAACCTTGAAAGATTGCGGAAACAAAACGTCCAATGTGGCCAGGAGTATAGCCAATAAGAACGCCTAAAATATTTCCTAGTGGTATATTGAGTGAAAATGCGATGGCAAATTTCAAGTGTGTTGACATCTGAATTGCATCTTGTTGAAGACGAACCGCATTTAGGCCAAGTGCCAATGCAACCAAGCATTCATGTAAAATGATTCCAATGAAAAGATGAATGGCTGTCCTAAGATTTGTTTGTAAACCAAGCGCCATGCCTTCATTGTAATTGATTTGAAATAAAAATTAAGTTTGAATAATGAAAAAAATACAACCTTCAAATAATGAATGAACGCTTGTTGCAAACATCAGGATAAAAAACGAAAACATCGAATCTTTACGACTTTGCAATTGATCAACATTCAAATGATGATGACCATGGTTATGATCATTTGGGCCATTGTAATCATGACTAGCTTGCGGTACTCGGGCATTATTCGATGGAGTATCATTTCGATATGATGTTGGATTAGGTGATTGATTACTTGCAAGGCCATTCAATGGTCGATCATTAGAATCAAGAAGCAACTCTTCTTCGTGATCATCCGATCGGTGATCGATCTTGCCATTTGAAAAAATCAAAATTTAATTGAGTTAAAATTTAATAACAATATTACAAACCGTTTCTTCTTCAAGAAATAAAACTGGCGATCTTTCACTTTGCGTTTGTGAACCATTAAAACAGCTCGAAAGAAAATTCTCAAGAAACAAAACCAAAAATAAACCACAAATCACGCTAAATTGACCGATCGAGAATGAACCAAATAGATTTTTCATTGATGGAAAATCCTTGATTAAACTATCAAATTCATTTTCTACACAGGGCACTAAGCTTAAGAAACAAACACCAAGAAAAACGCCGGCAGATATGCAATTACAATAGGAAAGCCAACGTTTCCAGCGATGTTTTTGATGGAGTTGATTTCGCGAATCTATAGATGGATGAGAAATTATTGAATTTCTCCAATGGTAGGATTCATCGTGATCATAATCATTGTTGACCGAATCATTCGGCAAATGTTGTTGTCGATTACGACGACGGGTAAAAATTATGATAGGCAAAAGATATGAAATGAATGTAGACAAAAACATAGACACGGCAAAGAATGCTTGCCATAATAATGATTCAACATCGTAATGAGCCATTCATCTGAATTCAAGGATCATATCGAGATGCTTCAACATTTATAATAATTGGATACAATATGGACAAAGAATAAAAATTGTTAACGTGGAACTTATTCTTACACTATCCATCAATCAAATAAATGGTGATTGACTTAATTTTACCATACAGCCGACGCAACACCTGAATCAACAATAAACTTGTATCCTCTTTTATGGATAGTGCCGATGACGCCGAATCCAAAATTCAATTTTTTTATTGTTTTGAATAAACAAAATTCTTTTTATTCTACAATAATTAATTTGAACATCATATGAATGAATGAAAATAAGTGGAGAAAAATAACAGATTCTTTTTGTGAGAAACGAAAAAGATTCTACAAGATTTTACAAATGTTACAAGCAATCAATTATAATAGGAAGGTAGTGTTAGGTATAATTCATTGTATGAGACTACCAAAAAAATAATTTTTTATCAATAATAAAATGATTCAAAAAATTCATCAATTAGGTTAATTCATTGGAAAATTGATTATATTTAGTATATAGATGATAGATATATTCCATCAAAAATATTTTTTTTCATCTACCAAATGTGTGTCTCGCGAATTTCTCCAATTATAATATTTGCTCGTTGTAAAGCCTATGAGAAAATACATTCAATCGGTTAATTTGAAAATACTTCATCAATAAAAATTGTTACCTTAAGCATTTCATTTGCTTCCTGACGGCGAATTGCAATCTGATCTGATTCTTTCAATAAATTATCAAAATTTTCCTGTTTATATAAATGTGTAACCAATTCTGATTGAAGGTTATCTTTAACAAAGTTGACCAGAAAATGCATTATGGCTTTTGGAACAGAATCTTGAATGTTTTTTCTAATGATCAAAAAATATGAGCGAATCAGACGTTCAATTACTTGGCAGTCATGTTCCTCTTTCGGTGTAAGTTTTCGAACATTTGTTGTGCTGGGCTGTAAAAACTTTTTCAATTAAATTTTATTTTTAAAGAAATGACATTAACTTACCACTTCTGGAAGTAGATTCACTGATTTGACAGGCGATGCCATTGGTGTGTTAGCATTAGTAGAACTTTGTGATGAATTTTCAATATCATTTACATTGTTATTTAAGGTTTCGCCTTTATTCGACACAAATGATCGAAATAAATTCGGCTGACTTCCACTTCCACTAACAGGCTTAACAAATGTTTGATTCTGAGCATTATGTTGTTGCATATTATGGATGAATGTCATATCATTGTTCATCATTTTTGGTTGTTGTTGTTGTTGATGCCGTTGTTGTTCATATTCTTTGTTTATTTGTTTCGTCTGTTTGTTAAATAATGAACTGACCAATTGGGCATCATGAAAATCTGGATGTCTTGTATTAATATAAGCCAATTCGATGCCGACAATATTTTCGACCATATCGTTAGTCGTAGGGAGACGTCGTCGCAATAATTGTGTAACAACATCCACAATTTTTTCATGAAGTTTTGGAAAACGCAACATTTCTTGCTGAATATATCAGTTAGAAAGTTCAGTTGAAATGAGTTAATAAAAAACTAACCTGTACTTCGGTACCACAATGTTGAATAATGCGTTGCATCTCTTCGTGAACTAATTCGACACATCGAAGACTTGGCTCTTCTAAACGACGAATCTGTCGCTTGACCAACAATTCGAATGATACTTCGGGTATAAACAAAGCTGGGCGAGTACCCTATCAACAAGACTTAGAGTGATGACAAAAATTCATTTAAAACTTACAGTAGCATTTCGAATGGCTGTCAAAATGTCGATAGTAGTTAGACCAGATAAAGGATGTATAGAATCTAAAGTACGACTGAATGTCTCATGAAAAATATAACAGATACGAGCACCACCACAAAGTTCGGCTGTCTCAATATTATTAGCAGTACCTTCGATTGTAGAACAATATGAAGATGCAAATTTGGTTATTATTTGCAGTAAAGTTTGACCCTTCAACGATTTATAAATTAGAACCCTAAAGAAAATAAAATGAATAGAAATGCTTACTTTATCATCAATAGCCATTCCATAGGAATTCATAACCGATTGAAATTGTGAAATGAGCATGTTAACACGAGTTTTCAATTCGGGTAAACAGTCGCGAATATGATGCATCAAAAGCTGTAAAAATAAAAATAAAGCAATAAGCAAAAAGAATATTCAAAATTACGAAAATTCCTACTCTATTCAATGTTTTAGCTAAATAAGCCGTTCCGTTGCGGTTGGCCAATGAAGGATATTTTCTTTGCAAAAAAATGGCTTCATCTTTTAATGCATCTTCAATAGATTTCTTATTAATTATGTCTTGCTGTGATCGACACACACAACCAATGATGCCTAATTTTACAGGAATTATACGGCCACAAAGAACATCAATCGCATCTGTACCAGCATCCATAAGATCTAATTTAGTCACTACCGAAAGCGTACGTCGTCCATCTTTATCAACTTCACGAGCAATTTTCAACGCTTCCGATGTAGCAAAATCTGTATTCGCTGGTGTTACAGCCAATATTATTGAATTCGGATTAGATATGTAAGATAAAATCATTTCACGTGTTTGTTGTTCAATATCCAATGGTTGATCACCAACTGGAATTTTGGTTATGCCGGGCAAATCAACCAAAGTCAAATTAACGACTCGATAAGAGTAAATTTTGAGATTAATTGGTTCTGGAGAGATGCCCTTATTATTTCCAGTTATTCGTTCAGTTTCGGCTTCTATCTCTCGACGTACATCTTCAAAATCGGAATAGACTTTGTTTTTCGTGTGTAAAAATTTGGCCCATTCATCCAAATTCATCGTTCCTTCGGATACATCTCGCATCGATTTATCATCCTTGTCAACATACTGTAATTGCAATATCAATGGACGACGAGTGACGATTCCAGCTCCACGTGGTAAAAAATCACGTCCAACAATCGATTCCAATACCGATGATTTTCCAGATGATTGTGTACCGACAACAACAATCTGTGGTAACTGAATACTTTCAGCACCGATCGTATTAAATACATCTTGTAGTTTGTTTATAATCGGTATTAATGATTCCATTTTTTGCCAATTCTTTTTTATCGTTGATTATAAAATGGTGGTGATTGAACGCGAATTGAAAGCGTAAAGTTTTTACGACCAATAATTTAATTTGTTGGTAATTTTAAATAATAAACATCGAATACATTAATAATATGGAAATGGAATAACAATGGATGATAAAAATAAAAAATTTCCCGATTTTCACATATGAAATAAAATAAGTGATCCTTGAATTTTACAACAATTCGAGTCCATTTTCAAAATGTAAAATAAGAATTTCTTTTCGGTTAAAATTGCGTATAAACAAACACACACGAATACACACCAAATTCACTATATCGACCTTATTGGGACATAAAAATTTTTGAAAATTTTGGTCCAGATTTTGTGCGAATCACAATCAAATTGTATTGGAAAAATAAACAACACAAAAATAATAGGAAGGATAATAATTAAATATACGCATTAAATGACAATATGATTAAATTCAAAAAACCCCAAATTAATGATAATGATGTAATTGATGATTGATTAAAAAACAAAATTTGACCTTATAAAATTAAAATAATATAGTTTAGTTGTTTGGACATAGATGGCGTGTTCAATATTATGGGTGGGTTAAAATTACTCGCGAGCATTGAATTGATTAGACTTGTGTGTTTTCCTTTTCGTGATTTTTTTTTAACGATTACGCTTAAATTCATCAAGAAAGAAACTTTAATCATTAACATACTTCAAATTCATAACAAACATAATTCGTATTGTTTGGATGAGTTTTCTTCTATAATTTTCTTGATCTCCTAATTTAGTATAGCTCAAATTGAAAAGAAAAACATCAAGATTAAAACACGTGCAATTTCGATTTTATGCATGTATGATTTATGGTCTTGAGCTAACAAATCAAATTTTAAAAAGTAACAATTTTTTCTTTTCCTGCAATAATTTGTTTCTTTTAAATTAAATTTATTGATTAGAATAGTCTTATTGAATCAAAGTTCTCCCCAATTTTGTTGTGAAATAATTCGAAAAGAAACTACTGAGCCATGTCGTTCAAACAGCTTCTTTGTCGGTGAGCATTTAGAATAATTTTTAAAATAAATCAAATTACTACTTTTTTGTACCGCTTAACATTAGTTTTTTCCAACAAGGATCTTGTGCTTATGGTGATGGTTGTCTTTATTCACATAACCCTAACGAAGCTGTATCAATTCCTGAAGATGTATGCCTCTTTTTTCTTCGTTCGAATTGCATGTATGGACACGAATGTACAAGAAAGCATCGTACCATAGAAGAAATCATTACTCAACGTGATGGTAACGAGGTTATTCAACAAGCTAAAAAAGATGAGGCCCAATCTTCGATTGAAGTAATTCAGAATGAAACAGCAGATACGACCAATGTCAATACCGATTCTTCAAACGATTCAACTGTTGATAAATTAGCTTTTTCGTCATTGACTTTAAACGATGCAGTCGCATCCACTAGCCACAATACATTAGTGTTGCCGGACAATGCCACCAATTCGAATAAATCTTATGCATCGGCGGCTCAAAATGGTTTCGTGGAAAATGATACAAATCGTGCATCGCTACCTTTGTGCACGTTTTACCAAAACAATGGGTTCTGTGTCTATCAAAATTGTCAATCGATTCATGGTGAATTGTGTGATCTATGTGGATTTTGGTCTATACATCCACATAATAAACAACAAAGTGATCTTCATCGATCGGTAATTTTTTTGTTTTAAATTTATCTTGAAATTATTAATCACTACTTACTTTCAAAAGGAATGTATCAAGGAACATGAAGAATCAATGGAAATATCTTTTGCTTATGCACGAAGTAAAGAATTAACCTGTGCCATTTGTTTAGATATTGTTGTGGAAAAAGAACCTCGTGCACAACGTCGATTTGGCATTTTGGAAAATTGTTCTCATGTTTATTGTATCGAATGTATAAGAAAATGGCGTAACGCACAAGATATGGACAAGCTGAATAAGCGAAATTGTCCACAATGTCGAGTCAAGTCGGATTTTATCATACCAAGTCAATTTTTCTATGATGATCCAACCCAGAAGGCAAAATTAATTGAAGACTATAAGAAAGCTTTAGGGTATGTATGATGTGCAAAATTGTACATTTTCCTTGAAAAAATTGGTCATTTTTATTTACAGATCAAAACATTGTAAATATTTCAAACGTGGCCGTGGAAATTGTCCATTTGAAGGTGCCTGTTTTTATAAACATCAATATGAGGATGGTAGGATTGCCCAATTACCAGCTCCGTCAAAAAATCGACGCCGTGCCACTCAGATCAATCTTAGACCATTTATTTTTCTTGATGTTTGTATTTTTATTAGAATTTTTTCCAGATTTTATATTTTTTCTATTTATAGGAAATTATTGATTTTGATGATGATTATTTATCATCATCGGATCTTGATTTTTTCGATTTGGACGATGACGACGATGATGATGATGTTTGGCATTATCATTGTTGATTTGGTAAAAATATACGAATGGCAATCAACTAAATTTAACCATTATGATATCGTAATCAAATCGTTTCTTTCATAATCTCTTCAATCCATTCACGATGGATAATGTTTGTCATAATTCTAATAGTAGAAATAATCATACCATTGTTATCCTCATCATAAGCACAGTTCAATCAAAGCAAATGGAGTTTATTTTAATTAGGATTTATCATTTCATTTTCTTGTTTCATTTCGCGATTTAATTTCATTCCTAAATTAAAGCATTATTGTGATAGTGTTCTTGATGACGAGTGTTGATACAACCTTACCTTACATAATCACTCACACCCAAACACACACAAAACAACACATGCAAAAATTCTATTAATTAGAGACCACCTCTAATTTCCCCAAAAAAATTTTTTTGTGATTTCTAAATCTAATTCAAATAATTTCCCTTTGGTTTCAAATCTGAAGAATTGTTTAAAATCTCAAATTCCTTTTAGTTGTGCTTGGCATCAAAAACTGAGTAAAAAAATAGTGGATTTCATTAAAATTTTTATTTTTTCTTGAAATTTTTCAATGGAAAGTGAATGATTATTTAAAATACATAATAATCGAAAGTTCATTTTTTTGTTTCAGGAATTGTTTCAGTTGATAGAATAAAAATAATGGTGAAATAAAGAATATAAATTGATCATAATCGAAAATTGATGAGAAAATGTTGTGTTATGTAATGTGTATGTATGGTTATTATGTAAACATTTCAATCGGGATATTGTGTCAAATCGATTGTATAGATTTGACTGATGGTACAATCGCCTGGTGCTGGTGCTACACCCACCAATGATGATGCATGACCATAGAATTCCTCTTTCAACGATATGACAATACACTGAAATGATGAGTCGGTTTTTTCACGGATAAATCGAGCAACTTTACTGATATTTGTATTATCCAAAGCTGCATCAACTTCGTCGAGAATAAAAAATGGTGCCGGTTTATATGAATGTATGGCAAATAATAATGCCAAAGCTGCAACAGTTTTTTCACCACCAGATAAATTCGACATTGGTTGAAAACGTTTGCCAGGAGCTACACAATTATAATTGATGCCTTCCAGATACGGTTCTTCGGGATTTTCTGGCACTAAAAATGCCTGAGCTGATGCATTATTGGTCAAAGATTTGTAAATAGAATCAACGCGTTGTGCGACACTTTCGAAACACATGGTGAAATCTTTTAGCCGTGCTCTTTTTACTTCTTCAAATGCCAATTTTGCCTTTTTCGATGCTATCCTTAAGTTGTTCACTTCATTGTCAGTTTCTTTTAATCTATCTTTGACATCTTCTAATCGATCAATTGCCCTGAGATTAGGTGCTTGAATTTTTTGCAAAATGTCCAATTTTTGATTGATTTCTTGTTGAAATTCAGCTTCTTTCTTTTTAATCTGATCAGGTTCGCAAATGTTTTTGAGAGAATTTTTAAGTTGTGAAAAATCTGGCTTAATATTGGCATCATTTTCATAGTTTCGTTGAGTGGATGGGCCATCATCATCCTCATCGTCATCCATATCTTGAGATCCAAGACCATTTTCCACGCCATTCGATCGTTGTGGTCCAACGGTCATTTCATGCAATGTACCAGATACTAAAGGTAGATTAATGCATTCCATTTTACAATGCGTTAACACAGAATGTCTGTCTGATTTCCGTGATTCGAGTTTACATTCGATCGTCATCAACGATTTCTGTGCACTGGATAATTCTCGTTGAACCGATGATAATCCGCGTTTAATTTCGGTGATTTCATCCTCAACCGAATCACATTCAGTCTTTTTCGAAATCTTATCATTCTTGAGCTGTTCAACTTTTTTCATCTCCTCTTCAATAGCCTGCATTTCACGCTTTTCTGTTTCACGGGCCTTTGAAAAAAGAAACAAAAATTATTTTATGATAAAAATTGATTGAAATCTTACCATTTCGAGATTGTTCTGTTCCTCTTCAACAACACGTTCCCAACGTTTAACATTTTCAAGGGTATCTTTACTTCTCTCATAAGCCAATCTAGATGTAATCGAATTCTTTTCATTTTCAATTTGTAATCGAATCCGTTCATTTTCCTGAGCAGCCATATTTTGTCGTTCTTCATACTGGCGAATATTTTCCACACCGAGGGTGACACAGAAATCTTCAAAAATTTTATCTTCAACAGTGTTCATCTGCTGTCGCAGTTGTTTGATCAAAACATCTCTTTCAGCCATTCGATCTTGAATTTCTTTCAAAATTGGTTCAAAACTACCCAAACTATCTTTATTTGTTTGAATTTCTTTAGTTATTTCTTCATTATTTTTTTCTGTCGTTATTTTATCATTTCGAGAATATTTGATTCGAGTATCCAAACCTTTGATCTGGCTAGCCAATGTCATCAATTCACTTTCTTTACGCATACGCTTCATTTGCTCTTTCAACTCTTCGGAAAGTTTTTCCTTTTGATATTTTAACGCATGTAATTCTTTTTCATCCCAACGTCGGGCTCGTTTTTCTAGATCAGCGCTACCACCAGAAATGAAACCACATTTTTGATAGAAAGTACCATCCAACGACACCGCATCATAACGTTGACCATCACCGAGATCGAATGCAACCAAATTAGCATCTTCAGCTGTTTCACAAACAAGTGCATTATTGGTTGCATACAAGACTGCTTTTTTGATGGAAGGTGGATCATATTTTATTACGTCATATAAAAGTTTTACGCCTTTTGGATATTGAATATTACGTAATCGTTCTTTGACAGCCTTTACTTCAATATAATCCAATGGAAGAAATGTTTCCGGTTCCAACATTTGTTCTTTCAAATACTGGATACATGATCGACCTGTTTTTTCTGTATCTACAACGATAGCATTCATATTCTTACCCATCACTTTGGTGACGGCAATATTGTATCGTTTATGGATCGGTTTACAAAGATTTAATAGACGATCATAGACACCTGGATATAATTTCTTCAGGTTTTCAACAACTTCGGCTTTTTTGTTTCGTCGTTCTGTTTCGTGTCGATCGACTTTTGCATCTCCCAATTCTTTATTAATTTCTTCGAGTCTGGTGGTTATTTTTTCCACTTGTTCTTTGGCTGCATTAACAACCTCTTCGATTTCTGCTTTTTTCTTAATCAATTCCTGTAGCTGTTGTTCGGAAGATTCCGTATTATCTTTGAGTTTTTCGATACGTTTATTATTCTCATCATAATTTACGGTCAACAATTGAATTCTCGATTCGATGGAATTCTTTTTACGCATCTCTGAATCATAACGATCTTGATCGGCTTTCTGTTCACGTTCATGAGAATCCAAATCTTTCATGTATTTAGCCGTTAATTTTGTCACCTCTTCTTTCAATCGATTATATTCTTTTCGTTGTGATTCTTCTAATTCGACATTCACTTTGAACATTTCCTTTTCTTTTTCAACTTTTGCTTCAAATTCTTCTTGTTTTGCGATTATTTTAGCCAACTCTTCTTCGAAATCTTTGATAGTATTCTGATGATTAGCATGAGCTTTCGATGCAGCAGCTCTAGATTTTTTAGCCGTTTCTAATTTCTTTTCAATATGTGCTGCATTCTCTTTGGCTTTAATGTATGTTGGTCGTTTTTTATTCAGATTCAATTCAACATCTCGAATTCGTTTGTCAATGTTTTGCAAATCTTTAGTTATTTTAGCAAGATTTGATCGTTTTTCACGAATATCATTATCAATTTTTTCCTTGGATTTGAGATATTTTTCCATTTCTTTGCGTTTACGTTCCATTTCGTCATTAAGTTGATCGATATCCTGTTGAATGTTGTACAATTTAAATAATTGAAGTTCAATTTGAACACGACTCAATTCTTCTTTAAGATTTTGATATTTTTTAGCTTCATTTATTTCACCTTGTGCTTCTTTCTTTTCGGCTGTAATACCTTTCTTTTTCATGTACATATGATGTAGCTCTTCTTCTGATCGATCCATCATAACTTTTTTATTTACATATTCATCTTTATATTCATTACTTCGTGAAATTTCCTCAAATAATGATGTAATTTCTTTTGGGTTTTTCATCGCAATCGATTCGACAGCACCTTGATAAACGAGAAAATTTCTTGCTTTAATGTTGATACCCAATTTTTCCAATAATTCGGCATAATCTTGTTTTGAAACTGAATTATCATCGACACGATATTCTGAGCTAGATCCTTGTACCAAACGGGTGAAATTGGTAATACGACCAGTGTCAATATCTTTGTAGACCAATGTTACGGATGCATTGTTGCTTACTGGTCGGCCAATCGATGCACCATGAATTAATTCGGATAGTTTTTTCACTCGGAGATTAGCTGTTTTTTCACCCAACACAAAACTGATTGCATCCATAAAATTCGATTTACCAGAACCATTCGGCCCAATAATGGCTGTAAATTTTTTGAGAGGTCCAATTTTCTGTAATCCATTGTAGGATTTAAAATTCTCGACCATTAAATACTCGAGAATTCCGGGCATGTTTTTATTCAATGATGTTAAATCAGTTGTTAGATATTTTTTTCAATTCATATCAACAAAACAAAAATGATTGTTGTTATTGTCGAACGGTCCAAAGATATATCTTCAGTTCAACGACTGTACGAATAAAAAAAAGAGAGGGAGAGAGAATGTATCTCTCAAAATGCTCATTAATGACAGCTACATTGTTCATAAATAACGAGAATTTTTCAATCTAAATTATATACCTAATCAAAATTATTTTGTTTATTTTCATTTCTACTTTTTTAAATTTTGACTAATAGATTTTGGATTTTATTAGCTCAATAAATTTATCAGTTTATCAATTTTCCAATTAAATTAAGAAAAATAATTATCTCGTAGTTTATGAAATTGATTGTTTCATTCCCTCCTTTTTATGATTATCGTCAGACGATTTCGATCTATCTGAACCCATAATGTGGATATAAATCAATGCACATGTATTCATTTATTCATCATTTTTTAATTTTATATTGGATCTTGTTTTTTTTGATTAGTAATGTAATTGTTGTTTCAAGAAAATGGATAAATCTTTTTTCGAAACATCGTACATTAATGATGATAAAACATGTGCAACATTCAAGTTTTTCTTTGAAGATCATACGTTGGCCAATGTTCTAAGGTTAGTACTTTTTTTTGGTTCATCCAATCAATAAAAGTATTGACTTAAGAAGTTTTAATTTTTTTTTGTTTTAAATTTGCCACATTCAATTTAGAAATCAGATACTGGAGAATCCAAATGTTGAATTTTGTGGTTATTCGATACCGCATCCAAGTGAAGAATATTTTCAACTACAAATTCAAACACGTAACAGTTTGAATGTTTATGATGCCCTGTTGAATGGTTTTGAAGAGCTATCCAAACTTTGTGATAAGACAAAAAAATTATTCATAGAAGCTGTTGATAAATATAAAATTGATAATAATATGTCTTAACATAATAAATATATTTTATCTCATAAGAAAGATTTTTTTTTCAATTATCTAATTTAAATACATTCATGCATGCATCCAGTAGCTGTTAGATATTGTTGTTCATTGATTGATTATGTTTGATTATCATTGAATTGCATTCACTTGAAAAGAGAAAATTGGTCGATATGAAACCAGAAAACAGGATGGTTAGTTTGTTCATTAATTCATTCCAATATTTGTTTATTGATACATTTGTCGTCGACATATCGATCCCACCTAAGGAAAAACATGGAATCACCGAAATCACCGTCAAGAAAATACTTCGAAGGTAACATCTATATTCGAACACCTTTGGTCGAATCGATTGAACTTCGTAAATATTGTGCTGGCCGCCAGGTTTATCTAAAAATGGAAAATTGTCAACCATCTGGTAGTTTTAAATTACGTGGGATATCCAATCTTTGCAAATATGTAAGATGTTTTTGATTGTCGAAATTTTAAATTGACAAAAATTTAAACCAGGCCGTATCGAACGGATTTACGGAGGTTGTATGCCCATCTGATGGCGATGCAGGACTAGCGACAGCGTTTTCGGCAATGAAATTACAAATTCCTTGCCACATTATTGTTGGACGTAAAACACCGATGGCTCTTTGTGATGCCATGAGATCTTATGGTGCTACATTGGAACGATTTGGCGATACATGGGAAGAGGCAAATAAGCATGCAGTCGAAACGACAACCAATACGAAGACTGCGTTTTTGGTTCATCCATTTGATCATTTAGCTGTTTGGTAATAGATGTTAGGTTTGTGTTTTGAATATCGATTAAACTAATTATACATCGTCAGGCAAGGACATTCAACTATTATCGATGAGATAGCTGAAGATCTTGATGGGCAAGCTCCATCGATTATTGTAACTTGTTGCGGTGGTGGTGGATTAATTTGTGGTCTTGTTCAAGGTATTCGACGCCATGGTTGGGAGAAACGAACCAAAATATTGGCTATTGAAACACAAGGAACGCATTCGTTTAATTTATGCGTAAAAGCAGGTGGTAAACGTGTTCGATTGGATGAAATAAATTCGATTGTTCATACTTTAGGCACTTATGAAGTTTGTGAACAAGTTGTGCAATATTTTCGTGAATGTAATCCACCGATTTTATCACGTTTGGTAACCGACGTTGAAGCTGCCGAAGCTTGTATTCGCTTTGCAAATGATCACCGATGTTTGGTAGGTTTAGCTTCAGCAACTACGATGGCCTCTGTTTATACTGGCATCGTCGAACGGATATTGACAAAAAATGAAGATCTACATGAAACGCTTTATGATCGACGCGACGAACAAGAGATGAATGAAACAGAAGGCCCGATCGTCATTTTGGTATGCGGTGGGGGTGAAATAAGTCTTAATATTATTGAAGAATATCGAAAAATGTTTAATTTAAATAAAATTTGAAATTTTTGATCTTTTAGTTATATGAAATAAACCTTCAAAGTAATTTATGATAAGAACAATTTACATACATAAAATGCATAAACTCAAAAAAATGAATCTCTCGAAATAGAAAAAATTAAAGTCAATGTCTTATCATGTTTTATCAGCAATGCAATGATTGATGCAAGCGTTAAATTATCATTTTGTTGACAAAATGGAACGAGCCTTTGACAAATTTTTATTTATTTTTGCTTTCATGTTCATCTTGCTATATCCATTGATTCAAAATGAATTCGCCAAAATTAGCAACAAAACAAAATTTTAATGGTAGTATCTATGTTCGAACACCATTGATTGAATCCGTTCCACTTCAAAAACATTGTGGTGGTAGAAAGGTTTATCTAAAAATGGATAACTTGCAACCATCAGGCAGTTTTAAATTAAGAGGAATAGCCAATCTATGCAAATATGTGAGTGATTGTCAATTTAATGCGTTTTCAACTGAAATTTTCCGTACGTCAATATGCAGGCTTTATCGAATGGATACACTGAGGTAGTTTGTCCATCCGGAGGTAATGCAGGCTTAGCAACAGCATATGCAGCTATGAAGCTAAACATACCATGTCATATAATCGTTGGGCAGAAAACACCTAGTTTGATTTGTGATTCAGTTCGCGAATATGGAGCTACCGTAGAACGTTATGGAACTGTTTGGGAACAGGCGAATCAATATGCAATTGAAACGACAATCGATTCGAAGTCAACATTTTTGGTGCATCCATTTGATCATCAAGCCTTATGGTACTATTTCAAATAAAATTGATATCGAAATTGCATTGACATAGTTTAATTTTTACAAAGGCAAGGGCATTCGACCATTGTTGATGAAATAGCCGAAGATCTTGATGGTGAGATACCATCGATTATCGTAACATGTTGCGGAGGCGGTGGTCTTGTTTGCGGTATTGTTCAAGGCATTCGACGTCAAGGTTGGGAAAAATGTACTAAAATCTTGGCCATGGAAACCGAGGGAACTCATTCATTTAATATATGCGTCAAAAATGGTGGACGTAGAACCCGACTAGATAAAATTACTTCGCTAGTCAGTTCTTTGGCTGCGAATGAAGTTTGTGAACAAGTTGTGAAATATTTTCGTGAAAATCAACCACAAATTTTGTCACGTTTGATTACCGATGCTGAAGCAGCCAAAACTTGTATTCATTTTGCAAATGATCATCGATTTATAATTGGCCTAGCCTGTGCAACTTCGATCGCTGCCATTTATACCGGAATCGTCGAACGAATCCTTACAAAAAAAGAAGATCTTTCTGAGAGTTTATCGGATAAAAAAGGAGAACCTGAGATCAATGATAATAAAGGACCTATTGTAGTGATTGTGTGTGGTGGATGTGAAATTTCTCTTAATCATTTGAAAGAATATAGAGATTTATTTGGTTTACATGATATTTAAATGTAAATAGGAAAAAAAACTAAAAAAAAATTCAATTTATAATTAAATTTTCAATTTGAATTTCCAACTATTTGCACCCAAGCGATTCTCATTTCGCGTAGGTCATCTGGTTGCAGACACTCAAAAGTCGAGTAAAAACGAAAACATCTTCATGATTATCTCCGGTGTTGAGAATAATTGTGTGGGTCTGTGTGCAGAATGATTAATTTACCACGTTTCGCAAAATATCTAGACCGATTGTCCTCGGTCAACAATGCAGCCAAATGTCTGGCACCAACATTATCAACTGTGAATAACTCTTCGTTTGAGCAAAGGCGTTATGCTAAAAAATGGTATCCAGACAAACAATTCTATCAAGAATTTGAAGAAGAATGTTTTTTAGTTGATCATGAATATCGTGGAAAACTTTCAAGAAATGTTACGAGAGACAATCCTCAGATGCGATTTCGCAACATTGTGATTAATTTTGGTCCTCAGCATCCAGCAGCACACGGGGTATTAAGATTGGCTTTGGAACTTCGTGGGGAATATGTAGTTCGTGCTGATCCACATATTGGTCTTCTTCATCGAGGCACCGAAAAATTAATGGAATATAAAACCTATACACAAGCTTTGCCATATATGGATCGGCTTGATTATGTATCAATGATGACTAACGAACAATGTTATGCTTTGGCAATCGAAAAAATGCTGAATATTAGAGCACCTAAACGAGCACAATATATTCGAGGTGAACAGATGATTGCTGCTAATTTGAAGTAAAATAATAACTCAATATTTTGCTTACAGTTTTATTCGGTGAGATAACTAGGATTTTAAATCATTTGATGGCTATCGGCACTCATGCTCTTGATGTTGGCGCATTGACTCCATTCTTTTGGCTATTTGAAGAACGTGAAAAGGTCTGTATTTTTCGCTTGATGTTTTGAATTGAATTCTAGCAATTATTCAACAGTTGATGGAGTTCTATGAACGAGTAAGTGGTGCCCGAATGCATGCTGCATATGTTCGTCCTGGAGGAGTGTCTCAAGATTTACCAATTGGTCTTATGGATGATATTTACAAATGGGCATTGAATTTTGTTCAACGCATTGATGAAATAGAAGATTTGCTTACCGAAAGTCGTATCTGGAAAGAACGTACTGTTGATATTGGTATTGTTTCGGCTGAAGATGCTCTAAATTTTGGCTTCAGTGGTGTCATGTTAAGGGGTAGTGGAATTAAATGGGATCTTCGTAAAACTCAACCATATGATTCGTATGAAGAATTTGATTTTGATGTACCTATTGGCATTAATGGGGATTGTTATGATAGGTAATTTTTTCACGTGAAAATTGAATTCAATTCACTATCTCTGACCTGTAATTAGATATCTTTGTCGAATGCACGAGATGCGCCAATCAATCCGCATAATCAACCAAGCATTGAATAATATGCCGTTAGGTGAAATCAAAATCGATGACAACAAAATTGTGCCACCAAGTCGTGCTGAAATGAAAAATTCAATGGAAGCTCTTATCCATCATTTCAAATTGTTCACCGAAGGTTATCAGGTTCCAGCCGGATCTACCTATACTGCTATCGAAGCTCCGAAAGGCGAATTCGGATTGTATATCGTCAGTGATGGAACATCTCGTCCATATCGATGCAAAATCAAAGCACCTGGATTTGCTCATCTTGCCGCTCTCGATCATATCGGTAAAAATCTTTTTCTTGCCGATATTGTCGCCATTATAGGTACACTGGACATTGTGTTTGGTGAAGTTGATAGATAGACAATTAAAATTATTTTGTGTTGTATAAAGTGGGATATATTAAAAAGCGAATTTTGTTTAATTATTAAAATAGTTTTAATTATTACTTTTATAAACAATTTTAAAAAATGATTTTTAACATAACACAAGGTCTAGAAAACTTCTTTTTTAAAAACAAAATCATTTTCACTGCATTTTTGCCTCAAATATCCACTTAAATCGGGTCGACCACAATAGAAAAATGTTACTTTGCCACGTTTTTGTTGTCGGATATTCTGAAAAATACCATCCCATTCTGGTCGACCAAAACGCCAATTGATCATACTGTTTGAACGGTCGATTATTGATGAACCTTTTGTCCATTGATCAGAATATGCAGATTTTTCACCATCTTTATTCGTAACGTACATATGAATGTCAAAAAACCGATCATCTTTGATCGAAATCGTCGACTGTTGTTCGACCAAATCAGACAACATCTCTACAAACCATTCAAAGCTTGTTTGATTACGATTGATCCAAATGAAATCAACTTTTTTCAAATTGTTTATATGTCGAGATGGTACTCGTTCGGTCCAACTATGTTTACATAAAGGACAATGGCGAGTTTTTTCGATATGTCGATACATGATACTCTGAAGAATCGATGCGAATGGAGTTACACCGATTCCGGTTGCGACCAATACGGCGTGTTCGCTTTCAAAAATGTTGGATGAAGGAGCACCATAAGGACCATCCAAATGAATCTTTAAAGGTGATTTGAGAAAGACCGCATTTGTTTGAACATCTTTATGAATATTTTTCAATAATGCTAAAGGTTTTTGAATATGATTTTCGGATACATGAGTTTCTGACGCAGATTTCGGGGAAATCTGATTCAATTCAATGGTTACCATACCACTGCCAGATTCGGATTCGTTATCGGAATTTTCGATGCTAATCTGCTTCTTGATCTTACCACAGCCATCTTCGTCACAGTCTTCTGGAACTGGAAGTATCATTGTACGTTTCTGTAGTGAATTGCCAACATTATGAACTTTGTGATCGAGTGCGTGATCACAATTCACATCAAATTTGTTGATTTGATCAGTATTTTTAAACAAAGGGTGGAAATCCAAACATTTCCATTCCTCTAACATCTTCTTCAATGTCAAAGTTTTAGCATGATCAAAATGATCGTATAATCGATTAGTCCATTCACCGACAGCTCGTATATGCAAAGTTAATTCTATAATGATTATATCAATTGTGAATTTCAAAGATAAACATATAGACTCCTACCTTTGTCCTCAGGAGCCGAACTTATAGTCATTGGATGCCATTCATATTTAGTAATTGATGGCACCATCATGTAGATAAAATCACCGGGAACAAAATGAAAATACTTTGGCTTCCGTATAATTAAACGTAAAACACGCGATGGTAACATTGTTCCTTCGATCACATATGTTTGACCATGATAATATTTTTTTGTTCGATAATAGGCGGAAATTTTTTCGAATAACAAAAATATCAATGGTGCTGTCAACCAATGAAGAGTTGAACTAGCATGCAAAAATAGGACCAGAATGTAAAATACATAAAGCTTGTGAGAGTAATAGAAAATCTTGATAACAAATTTTTAATGTTAAATTGAATTGATATCAAATGATTGATGGGGCTTACTTCGAAATTTCCTGTACGACGAACAAAATTCATCGAAAATATTAACATGATAACCAGTAGGAGGACCAAAATCCAACCGGTGAGACATGCAGAACCGTAAAACCATCCGATACCAAGATTGACGGATACAAGGAAGTCCCAATACGAAATTGTAGTTATATCTGTCAAGGCGAGAAAATTATAAAGATGTGCAAGCGTATGAACCAATGAAAAAAATGCGATAGACCATCCGGTTAATTTATGAAAATAAACGAAATGATCCAAAGGTAAGTATCGTGCCAGACCAAACGATCGAACATAGCTGATTGATTTTCGCAATATTAAAACTATGATCAAACCGGATTGCCAATAGATTGCGATAGCGGAAGCACGAGCAAGGGCCAATGCAGTTGTTGTGTCCGCATATTGGCCGAATCGATAAATAAACAATGATAATGTTATTGCAATGTATGTGATTGTAAAGAAAAAACTTTGCAAATTATTACGAATATAGCCCCAACGAAGCTTATGAAACAACAAAGTCATGATTATAGTCAAACGAACAATTAATTTTAAATTTAAAAAACAAAATGAATAAATTTGAAAATTGAAAAAATAGCATTTATTTTATTTTAAGTTTTTTTCATCTTTCTTTCGATTTGTTATGAGTATGAGTGAAGAAAAAATCCAACTTGAATCACATTAACTTGACTGGGATGGCGATGATGATGATGTGGACGGTTTGATCGGCTTCAACGATTGTTCCATCTGTTTGATTCGTTCCAATTCATAGGCATAATTTTCATCTTTTTTCTGTTTCAATTGCTGCAAATATTCAGCACGTTTTCGAAGATCACGTGTCTGAGAAGTTAATGTTGACATTTCTTTCTGAATATTGCGTAATTTTCTTAAATAAATCTGCATCTCGGACATTGTTTTATCAAATTCATTTAGCTCAAATAAATTGTTATATCGTTCATTTTCTTCTGATAATAATTTACAAAGGGAAACATGATGAGTAACAACTTCGTCGATTAATCGTTGGCTCATTTTAATGATTTAAGAATTTTTAAATTCTGTATGGCGTTATTTGAACAAATGCATGACTAAATAAAAAGCTATTTACACTTGACAGTAAATACTGGACGAAAATAGATGATTTTAAAAAAGTCTTTAAAAAATTCAAATGAAACAATCATGACAAATGATTCGATATCTAGGAATATTTTCGTTCAAAATTCTATTGGCAAACACGAAAACATTATTGCTTAATTCAGCCATTATAATGCCCATTCGAAGTTTCAATCGTCCACATTGATTACAAATAAATAGAACTCTTTGCAGATGATCATAAATTTGTTTAGGCGTTTGTCGATGATCAAACAGTTTTTCTTTCAATTTCAAATTCATAAAGACGATTTCTAAACATTTTTCATATAAAGTTTTTGTGTCGAAAGGATATCTTTCAAATGAATAATTTTCTTGTTCTTTCCATGGATTGGAATCGATCTTGAATATACATTGTGATTCACTTTCAGTGAAATTCTGATAATTTGCAAAGGGAAAAGCACGCATAAAATTATGGGAGAAATCAATTTTAGAATATTGAAAAGGAAAACGAATTATTTGATATAGTAAGGATGAAGGAAAATGTTCAATTAGATTATGATGAAAATCGAGAATATGACACTTTTTCAATCCAATAATTTCATACGGTATTAATCGTAAACGATTATGGCTCAAATTGATTGTTTTCAATTGCCGCATTTCTTGTGTAAACCACATGGGAATTTCTTCGATTTGATTATTACTCAAATTTAAATGAGCTAAATGCTTTAATCGATTCAAGGCGAAAGGTATTTTGATCAGATTACAGCCGGTTATGGTGAGTTCTGATAATTTTTTAAGCGACCATAACTTATCGATATGATGCAATCTCAGAGTTTCAACATGTTCTATTTTAACATTGACTAAAATAGGATTGTCTAATTTTTTTATCTGATTAGCATTATTGATCACTGCACATCGCGGCATTAACTTGCATTGCAAAATAGTTTCCACCGATGGTACTGCTGGCAATGGTTGATAATTTGTACGTATTTTTTCGGCTAATCTTTTGAACATATCAAAAGCTAAATAATCGATATTTTTCAACATGATCATCTTTTTTGGATTCGTGATAATAAATGTTTCAGCACGAATGACAAAATTTGATGCATTCAAACGAAATCGATCATTTTGTTTGTTACGTACAATGACCAAATAATAACAATGATCTTTTTTATTGAAACCGATACCAATTTTTGCTTGAGAATAACGATTTGGAGTGGAATGAGGATGACTAATCGAAACATCACAATCGATAATCATTTTCAAATCTTTTTGATTATTCGTTTTTGAATTAAATTTTTAAATACAAAAAAAAATATTTATAAAATGCGCGAAATCGAAAAACATAACATTTCACTATTTCAACATAAAAGATCAATCAATGCGAAATATGCAAACCGATGACCATTCAAATGAGAAGAGGTGAACCCAATTTGAATGGAAACTCCTACGATAAGGTTATTTGTGTATCAAAAAAATATTTATTTGTTTGGAAATAGTTTTTATTTTTATTGACTGGATCAATCAAATACAATATCGATGAAAACAAAAACATCTTAATAACTAAAAAATAATCATCGAATAGGTTATATCAAACAAAAATAAGAATGTGTAGAAACACATTAGAGTATGGCTGCGATATCCGGTTCAATATTTTTCGGCTCAACTGTTGGTGCATATCGCTTTATGGCTTGACCTTCTTTATTGATCAAAAATTTAGTGAAATTCCATTTGATGCCATCAAATCCAAGAAATCCATGTTGTTTAGCTTTCAACCATTTGTACATTGGGTGAGCCGAATCGCCTTTATAAATTGCATATTAGTTTGACTGATGAATAATAATTGATCGTTATAGAAACTTACCATTGACATCAACCTTTGCATACATATCGAATCGAACACCATTCTTTTTGATGAACTCTTTGATCTCCACATCACAGCCAGGTTCTTGTCCAGCGAATTGATTGCATGGAAATGCAGCGATTCGAAGACCTTTCTCTTCAAATTGATCATACAATTCATTCAATTGTTTGTAATTTGCTTTAGTTAATCCACAATGTGTGGCCACATTAACGACCAACAATGGATGACCTCGATATTTTTCCATCGATACCTATCAATAATGATGAATAATTGAAAAGTCCTTTCATAGTACAATTAAAGAACAAAAAAATTTCAAAAACTTACATCATTACCATCGATGTCTTTAGCAGAAAATTCATAGATTGATTCTTTTGATTTCCAATCACTGTCACTAGACATTTTTCTCGTTTGATTATTGTTGAAAAAATTCGAATGTTTAAACAATAAACAGGATGATGTTAAGGGAATAATATGTTTATTATTCAAGAAGAATGATGCTGCTGTGATCAAGTCGTAATTACGAATGATTTTAGTTGCAATGCTGCTCATCTGTAATGTTGAAATACAGTCATATCTTTGTATCATAGATATTGTGTTATTTACACTATAATCAAATTGGTTGTCATAAAATATTGATAATCAAACTGCACATACTTAGGGAAAGATAGAGATAGAGAGACACTACTACAGGCGAAACTATTGGAAGCTTTCAAATAATAACTTTGAAAATGGTAAACAAAAAAATGAACTTGGAAAAGTGAAGCATACTTATATACTTATACTAATCAACTTTACCTTTTTCTTAATGGTTTTGTTTAACCGAAAAACACACTCGAAACGATATAGTACTACGCTTATTATAGAAATTAAAATTTGAAAAAATTGCTTTCTAAATTGACAGTGCATTTTCAGTTAATCGATTGGACGGTTAAAAGTTTGTCATTATTCATTTTGGAAAACGAATCATTTCATTTTTACCGAATCCTTTCCATTTTATTTTTTTCTGTCAATCGATTTCTTAAATCATTGATCATTTTTGAAAAACCAACATTAACGAAAATAAAAACATATCGACCTTGATGATGGCATATACACTTGTCATCATCACCATCTTAACGACAATCAAGGTTTCTCATACACGTACATCCTAAGATTTATATTTGATACATCTTTTTGTAAAAATTATCATATCAAATCCATGAATCTCAAATCAAAACCAATTCATTAATATAGAAAAATGAATTAATAAATACCTGTAAAAAAATATAAATTTAATCGATGATAATTTGATGATAATCAACAACTGTATTCAATTTTTTTAAAATGAGAGTTAGTAACCATCAAACAAAGGAAAGCGATATAATATTCATTTTCGGAAGTATTCATCTTACCTTTTCTGTCAATTCAAATAGTTGTCACGATACAAATCAATTTAAAATTCTTAGTGACGAAATCATTTATCGATTAAAACGCATGAATCTGAATAAAGAGGAATATTTCGAGCCTGAATGCCGAATTGAGTGAAAACAGCCATGTATCCAAAACAAACGCAAAAAATCATTGAATGTCACAATAAATTTTCTACAAAAGCTCATTAGGTAAAAATAGAAAATCGACTATACCAACTTTTTTTTTGGAAAATGAATCAGGGGATATAACCAAGCATGTTCAAGTGATAATAAATGCATTTGCGCCCCCTTTTTTCATGAAATGATCATTCCTTTATTTTCAATTAACAATATGATCATTAGAATTTAATGTTCTTGTTTTTGTTAAACTTGTTTTTCTAAATCTAATCGATGTAAATTTTCAACGAATAATTCAAATCACTACGAATCATGATGAAAATATGATTCATATTGACAGTTGATAATAACGTTAACTAATCAATCAATCATGTTGTTGTTGAGCATTGATGAATCATCGCCTAAAGATTCATATCTTAGCTGATCATATAAAATTTCATATATACAAATTATTGAATAAATTTCGAAAAAAAACGTATACAAATTGTGTCCACTGCAAACAGGGAATCGACAAAAATAGCTATTTTACATTTTAAATCATCGACTACGATTATTGCATGCAACAACATTAAAATTTGTCATCATCATCATCGCTCAATCAACAATATCAAACAACATCTTCCTCAATTGTGATAATCATATGAGTACATTCAACTAACTAACCATATTAGTGGCCGGAAAGCATAATGACAAAGAAAAATAATAATAATAAATGCCTATATGATCATTGCAAGTTGGTATTCAAAACTGAAGGATTAATTTTGTGGCGTACACTGTTTTAGTTAAATACAACAGAATAAATGCGACAATTGATTTTGAAATTAATTAGCTTACAAAAATACTAATCAAAGAAAAAACGAAATTAAAAAAAAATTCTTTAATGTCACTTGAAAAGTTAAGCGAACAGCAATTGACCAGACAGCCTGAAGAAGTTTTCGACATTCTTTGTAAATTAGGTAATAAATATGTTGTTCAAGCATTTTAAGTTTAATTAATATATTAAATGTTTCTGGTCTAAAAAAATTATCATACAGGCGAAGGTTCCTATGGATCGGTATACAAAGCATTACATAAAGAATCTGGTCAGATACTTGCAATCAAGCAAGTACCAGTCGAAAGCGATTTGGGCGAAATAATCAAAGAGATCTCTATTATGCAACAATGTGAAAGTCTTTATGTCGTTCGATATTTTGGAAGCTATTTCAAAGGTATATAGGCATTATTTTAAAATTATTCTCAAATAATGATAAATTTAACAAATGAAGGTTCCGACTTATGGATCGTTATGGAATATTGTGGCGGGGGATCCGTTAGTGATATAATGCGTTTCAGGAAAAAAACCTTGACTGAAGATGAAATATCGATCATATTACAAGACACATTATTGGGTTTGGAATATTTGCATACCCATAGAAAAATTCATCGCGATATTAAAGCGGGCAACATTTTGCTCAATAATGAAGGACATGCTAAACTTGGTATTGATTAAATTTTTTTGTTTACTTATTGCATTCATTATTGAACAACTTCATTCTTTAGCTGACTTTGGTGTCGCTGGGCAACTGACTGATACAATGGCAAAGCGAAATACGGTCATTGGCACTCCATTTTGGATGGCACCTGAAGTTATTCAAGAAATCGGTTATGATTGTTTGGCCGATATTTGGAGTCTGGGGATAACGGCATTAGAAATGGCCGAAGGTAAACCCCCTTACGGTGATATACATCCGATGCGTGCCATTTTCATGATACCGACAAAACCGCCGCCGTCATTTCGTGATCCTGATAGATGGTCTCCTGAATTTATTGATTTTGTGCAGAAATGTTTAGTCAAAAATCCTGAACAGCGTGCGACCGCAAACGAGCTTCTTCAGCATGAATTCATTAAACGAGCACCATCCGTAGCGATAATCCAGAAAATTATTCTTGAAGCCAAAGAGATTCAACAGAATCAACAAAATACTTCGGTAATGGTTTTTCCTTTAAAACAACGTTTTTTTTTTTAATTTTTTATATTGCAGTCCACATTTGGCGATAATCTGAACGCCACAATGGTCTCTGCCAAAGATAATACGCTGCGATCAATTTCAAATTATCCAACCAATGATGTCAATCGTACAGCTGATTCACAAATGAATCGAACAGCTGGAACCAATTTTACCACATCTGATGTGGAATCGGATCTTGGAACATTGATCATCAATGATGAAACAGATGACGAAGATTCGGAAAAAACTCTGAAACCTGCATTTTTGCAACATTTCGAGCTTAAGGATAAGCAAAAGGTAATCAAATGACTAATCAAGTTTTTGGATTGACATTTTTAATGTTTCTTAGAATTATAAATCCGATGCAATGCCAACAATGGATGCCACATTATTAGAACATCCAGCCAAAAATGAAAATGGTTGGAATGGAAATTCTGATGGATCAAATGATAACAATAACTCTTCGGTATTAAGTTCCATTAACAATAATCCGTTGTCCAAAACGATAATGTTAGGTGGTGATTTCGAATTTTTGCGTTTGCTTAGCCTGGATGAATTAAAAGCCCGTATGGCCAATCTTGATCTGGAAATGGAGGCTGAAATCGAAGAATTACGACGTCGTTATGCTGCAAAACGGCAGCCAATTTTAGATACAATGGATCAGAAAAAGAAACGACAGCAAAATTTTTAGAATTATTAATTTCTAACTTATTTTTTTATACTATCTTATTAAATGAAGCCTTCCATACATTATTTATATTTATCACAGTAAAGTGAAATTTTATTTTATTTTTTTGACAAAAAAAGGCACATCAATCAATTAATTTGCAATGGTATGTTATATTGTTGATCCAAACCAATGTAACAATCACTGAGCAAATATAGGGTATAAAGTATTCGTTTTGATGATCTAATATCTGGTGTTCTAAATCGAATGTTCACCTGTGTTGAATATGGATGAATACAAGGCACTCTGGTTATGGTGATCAATTCGGATTCTTCTTCACATCCAAGAATCAAATACCAGGATTCTGATTTTGGTTTTGGAAATGATGGACAATATGCTCGTTGACTTTTAGGATTTTGATTAGAAGATAAAGAGATTCGTTTTAATTGGCAACAAACACAGTAATCAGAAGATGGCTGGAGCTGAAGCCATTCAATATCACGTCGAGATACGAAAGTATTTTCTTTTAATATTTCTTGTGGCAACCAACTTTCTGAATCCATGTCTTCATCAACAATCTTATTTATTGATATTTTTTCAACATTTATCAGCGGTAATTGTGTCAATGATTTGAAAAGGCGGGAAAGTATATTCGGATGAATAGAATATTCTTCGAAAAGATCTTTGAATGCCTTGAATAATTTAGAATCATTTCGTTTGTTTGAATAACTGTTTTGTTGCAAGAACTGTAAAAGTACCGGAAGTGAACAGATTTCTTTCGAAAGTCTGCAAATATCAGTGATGGCTGCGTCCATTTGATGTTGACGATTTTGATAATATTCTGAAGCATCGTTCAGATTATCATCAATAAATTCATTAGCTGTAGATTTGTGATCCGTTTCGAGAAGTAACAATAATTGATTGGAATTCTGCCATGATGCCTGAATAATACTTTGTTGTAAATTGATTATGTTGATCGTAGTAGGAAGTGATCCATTTAGAGCTGATATGTCGATCATTGCCTGGAATATTCTCAAGACTTGATCCAAAACTGTTTTTAAATCTGTATAATAGTCAACAATCGGTAAAGGAGAACGTGAACAATGTGCCTGAAGCAACAGGTTAGCTTTAGTATGTGGTGAATCCATAGAACGACGTTCCATTTTGAATGGACATATTTTAGCAAGCTGTGCATTCAATAATTCTTCATTATGTCGAACAGGGAGAGTAGCATATTCGGTAGCCATTGTGAGTAGATCGAGAATTTCACTAGGTTTATAGTAGGTGAATTGTGGCTGACCTGTTTTGTGATCTGAAGAACAAAGTCGATCTTGAAATAAGCGAATAGTTTTGTATGATAAATAATAATAGGATGCTATTTTTCCTAATGGCGTTGGCGAAAGAAACTGATTGACAAAGCTATCATCTTTTCCATATTGTTCCTGCGATTGATTTTCTTCATCGACTACTCGTATACAATAATTATCGATTAACAATTGAACACATTGATCAATATATGTAGAAAGAAATTTGATTACCAAAGTGTTAAGAACCATTTCATCACTGAGTTGATGCTCACTTAATTCTCCAAGATCAACTCCATAATATGATGGATTCTTAATAATACGATGATAAAGATATGTTGATGAAAGAAATTCCATGGCTTCATGCTTATTTTTCACAGTACCAGTTATAACTTCAGCATTTAAATGATCGGGAAATGCATCCAACAGATGCGATTCAACTGGAAATGGTTCATATAAAAATTTGCGATAATATTCTTTTTTTATGTCGTGAACAAACAAAATGGCAACTGCTGAAGTATCGAATTGAGGACGGCCAGCACGACCAATCATCTGCAAAACATCTGTTATGGGAAAATCAACATAACGACCTTTTTTACCATCGAAGAATTCGGTGCCTTTGATGATGACTGCATGTGCAGGAAGATTAATTCCCCATGCTAATGTGGCCGTTGTGATCAGAACTTGAATCTTTTGTTCAGCAAACAATTGTTCAACAAGTTTTCTATCATTCTCGACCAAACCGGCATGATGCATACCGATACCGAATCGAAGAGTATGCTTCAAATATGAATCTTTAACTGTTTCTAATAATGCATCTAATTCATCTTCGTTGTCTATATGTAAAAACGGTATGCCCATGGTATGATCATCCGAAGCAACTAATGTAATGAGATCCAAAGCGGTTAGCCTAGTTTGTCGACGTGATGAAACGAACACAATCACAGGTTTGGTTGGAGAATGTTGTTTGATTGCTCGATATGCTGGTTTGTTCATGGAAGCCATTCGCGGACAATAATGTTTGCCTGAGAATCCCGATACATGAACTTCGATAGGCACCGGTCTAACTGAAGAACTAAAATTATAAAGGCCAACATTATGAATATCCAACCATGATGAAAGATCTTGAGCATTAGCCACAGCAGTTGACAATCCAATAATTCGAATATTTTCACCAGTACGACGACGAATAAAATTTGTACGAGATACTATCATTTCCAGAACAGGACCACGTTCTTCTCCCAACAAATGAATTTCATCAATGACAATAAGAGCAACTTGTCGTACAAATTTTCGAAATGTCCAGCCACGACTAACACCATCCCATTTTTCTGGTGTAGTCACTATTAACTGAGCGGAATCAATAGTGGCCAAATCAGGGGTAACATCACCGGTCAATTCAACAACATTTAATGAAATTTTCTTTTCAATTTTTTGCTTCCAATCATCAACACGTTCACGTACCAATGCTTTTAATGGAGCAATATAAACAATTTTGCCCCAAGGACGTGTATTGATAACACGGAATAAAGCGATTTCGGCAGCAATTGTTTTTCCGGAGCCAGTTGGCGCTCCAAGCAGCACATTATTATCAGTATGATATAATGTATGAAATATTTGTGTTTGAATCGGATTAAAATGAGAGAACGGATAAATCGATTCGAATACATCGTTCTGTAATGCTTTGATTGGTAATGGCATCAAGTCCAAAAGCGGAGTATGGGGCAGATGCTTGTCAGGCAATAGTAAATTGTGACAAGATACTTCAGTTTCACATTTCGCACCCATCCAATATTCGAATGTACAATTGATTAGATATTGTTTCTGAAGATATGCTGCGTCCAATAACGGTATCGTAAAAATATAACGTTGCGTTTCTTTTTTAATTACTTGTTTTTTGATAAAACGCCCAAGTTCGGCATGATAAATATGATTGTTTTCCATATCTGTCAACCAGATCCAATAAAGTTGAGCTGCTTTTCCATGATATTTATCATCCCAGACAAAATCTGGCTTAACATCAATATAAATAGTCAATATTGTACGCGTTATTGGCTTGACTGATGCTTCAATCTGAACATACGGTATGGTCTGAGCTAATCGTTTAACAATAGGAGCATATCGTTTATCATGGATGAATTGGGCGATTTCATTAACGTCCATTTCTCTAAGATCATAATGTTGAATATTTTTGCTTTGATGAATAAATGATAGCTTATCTAAAACATCTCTTGTCAATTCAGATTCAAATTGATATAAAGGTGTGTCGAAATTCCATATTTGCTTCTCAAACATCAACGAAATATCCAGAAATTTTTCAGACAAAACCGGCCATCCTCGACGTATAACATACTCAAACAGGCCACGAGTTAAACGGGACATATTCTAACATAAATAATTGATAATCAAACTAGAGTATAAAAAAATAACTCAAATTTATACCTGAAGAATGTACATCATATCAGAATTCAATGAATGACATTCAGTAATCGATCGATTAATACAGGATTGCATCAAAATGTTAATCTTCGTATCGGTGCTAGTTAGATCGCCATTGATCATAAATTTGCATTTACTCCATAAATTTTGAAGCTGTTCAATTTCCTCTTCTCTAACTCTGAGCTGATGAAATTCACTAGCCGATGACATAAGATGAAAAATATTGCCAATATCCATGACATCTCGAAGATTTTCGTTAAAATGAACAATGGTTTCATATTGAATGTAAAAATGTGAAGCAATACGGCCAAGATGTGTAGCATCTACCGTTCCTTCTCGTTCGGGATTATATCGAATCATATGTGCTCGATCTAATTGTTCCGAAGAAATTTTTGCAAGACTTGTCAAATGATCAATGATAAGGCCAAGATCATGAGCTGCTATACTTTTAAGACCATATTCCAATGGGTTTCGTTGCATTCGAATATACAAATAGGTATATTTAAGCCAATCGACAATTTCTCTGATGTTGCATACGGTACCGAGAACAATTTCAGCATTTAAATTATCGACCAAACGTTTTAAAAATTTACTCTCGATAGGAAGTTGATTGGTCAACATGCTGAGATAATGTGGTAAACGGTCATATGTAGTAATAATTGTAGCATCGCCATCGCTATCAAATTGTGGCCGACCAGCTCGTCCAAAAATTTGCATAACATCAAGCATATCTATGTCGACAAAACTACCTTGCGATGGATCATAATATTCGGTACCACGGATAATCACAGAATGTGCTGGTAAATTTACACCCCAAGCTAGTGTAGATGTACAGACTAGAACTTTAATAACGCCATGACTAAATAATTTTTCCACAATATTACGTTCCGATCGTGGCATTCCAGCATGATGAATACCAATGCCATTTAGAAGAAATTTGTTTAAATTTCGATATCTAGCTCTGGAAATCAGATTATCTGAACCGGGAAGTCTTGCCGTATCAGCCTGGAACATTAATCGTAAACTTTCTCCACCATCGCGGTCATTGGGATCGTTATATTGAGTTTTTTCTAATAAATAGGTTGCCATGGCCATTGTAGCATTTCTTGAATGTACAAATATCATAACTTGATATTCTTTTTGTAATATTTCTCTAGCTCGTTTCATCGTTATTTCATCCATATCACTATTGAGCTGATTTTTCGAACGAGCTTTACAACCGATGAAAGTTTTGGCCAATGGAACTGGTCGAAATCGATCGTCGAATACATACAATCCTTTGTAAAGATCAACATGAAGAAATTGGGCAACATCAACATAATTGGGCAATGTAGCTGATAATCCAATCATTCGAATACATTTTTGTGATTGTTCAACATAACGTACTGTGCGAGCCACAATCGTTTCGACAACATGACCACGATCTGACTGCAAAAGGTGAACTTCATCCAGAATAATTAATCGAACCAAATCCATAAGTTGAACATCACCAACAGATTTTCTCGTAACAACATCCCACTTTTCCGGTGTGACAACAAGCATCTGTGTTTCCATTATTTCTTTGCTGGTCATCTGCATATCACCAGTCAATTCACGAACTTTAACACCAAATGGCTGCAAACGACGACCAAAAGTAGAAGTCATTTCGGCACAAAGTGCTTTCATCGGAGCAATATAGATTATTTTAAATTGAGCTAAGTCAATATTGGACACGGAATCATCTACGGAAAATGAACGCAATATGTTCAATATGGCCAACATGGCTATATTAGTTTTGCCAGCACCAGTTGGTGCACATATCAACATATTTTGATTATCCGATTGATAAGCGGTAGAAAATACTGCTGATTGAATGATGTTCAACTTTTCAAAACCATCAAATCCGGTTCGAATAAATTCATCAGTATCGGCAATTTCAATACGTGAAAAATTATTTAAAAATTTTTGCGTTTCATCAGTGCTCGCAAGAAGCGGAACATAAACTTCGTCATGCGTTTTGAATTCTTTTCGTTCGGATCCAATCGGAAGCAATAATTTTGTTTCGGCAATGTAAGAAGCTGTAGTTTTTATAGAACGGTAAAGGTCATAAACAAATGGATATTGTTCAACTGGACGATATTGGCGTAGTTGTTCGGCCATTTTTGGTGCTAATATTGATCGAATTGATGCTTTAAGATTTTTTTCACGCATACGTTCTAGATCTTCAAGAGAAAGTTTATCACTTTGAGGTTCAATTTCATCATTGTCAACGGTATTTTTTTGTACTTTATTGATTTTCTTGGCAATTTTACGCATCTCCTTTTTCAATGCTTTTTCCTTAGCGGTTGTAACAACTACCGAAGGCCGAATCGAATGAGATCCAGTGTCACGAGATGAATTGAAACGTCGATAAACTTCATCAAGGTTTTTATTGTTACCTTTTTTGGATGTTGAGGATGATGGTTGATTAGCATTTATCGATTGGTTATTTGATTGAACATTTGGTTTATAAACAAAAATTAATTTTCGGACTAATTGAAAGTATTTTTCCCCAAGTAGATTGGTCAATTCTTCATAAAGACTATCGTTATCATTATCACTGTTGATCAAACGATTCATAACCATTTGATTCAATTCTTCGGCGCTCAGATAGAATTTATCCGAATTCGTTTGATTATAATCGGCAATAAATGTTGTTAATTCTTCATATAACTTGGCCAAAATATCTTCGGTTGACTTATTTGCCAAAGAATCTTCCATATCAACTTGAAATTCAGATGACATTTTTTGCTGATTTTCATTTGGGATATTGTTAACCTCTTGTTTTGGTTGATAATTTGACCCTGAAGATTGCAGATGATGAGGAATTAAATTGGAATAAAGTAAATTTTGCAGGATGAATTCCGAATTAGAATAATCTGGATTGAATTTTGTAAAATCTGTAGTACATTCGTGAATAATTTGCTTATCGTATTTATTCATTAACATATAATTGAATTTACTATTAGCGTAAGGATCGATTTGAATTTCAACATCATCAGCTGCGAAAAAACGGTCGGTAAATTGATTGTACCAATCATAATTTTCTTGGGAAGATTGCTTTTCAAGATCGGTTGTGACTTTTTTAATAACACTGGCGTAAAAGAAAATTTCATTCAAATATTTCGGCTCCATCACCTGAAATATCTGACGGCAACATTGATACATTTTTTCCATTAGATTATATTTTATCGGATTTAAGCATAGAATATATTCAAGATCATTGTAATGCGAGCTAATATTTGCGAAGTTCAATGTTGTTTGATTTTTATCGGTCATCGGTTGTTGTGTTTGGAATTCTGTCTGAAATGAATCATATAATACCCATAGAAGATAAACAGCAGCTTTTTCCACAAGAATCTGATGTGTAGATCTATCCATGACTTGTATGAATTCGGCGATTAACGATAAAAGTTCTTTGTATAAACATTCCGGACTCTGTATTGGCCTGTCGTGATCGATATCCATTCGTTCGTTATTTGAACAAATTTTGGTGTTCATATTGTGTCGGCTGAAAAATTCTATGTCGCCATTATTAATTAATGATGATTTTGATTTTCTATCATCAAATGATGATCTAGAATTGAACTTTTCGGAACGATTCTGTATGTTACGTAAATGTTCGACAATATTTTCGAAACGAGGCAATAATTTTTCATCGAGCACATCTGTTAATCGTTGTTCCATCAGTTTGAAACGCGTGAAACATCCATTATAAATCTGGTCACAATTTCTATCACTACTGCTGCCAATATTTTCAAATTTATTAGTTTCGGGATTGTATTTTTGGCTCTTGACTTTTTGTCGTATATAAGTGGAGAATAATTTGTTTTTGGTATTGTCCATTGTTGCTTTTAAACGAAAAGATTTATGCAACAGGAAAAAGAAGAAAAAAATTCTGTAAAAAAATAACGAATTTATAAACAGATGTAAAGAACATCGAATTCAATTCAAACTATCTCCACGAGACATATCAACAATTGCATCAAAACGCGTCAAGCAGCCGGATTTTTTTCTGTTGTTGTGCGCCTCTATTTCTACCTAAGCATCATAAAATATATTTAGACGTAAATTTTGATAAATTTTTGAATTTTATTCGTAAAATTTTATTTTAAGAGAAACAAATTAGAAATCAAAAATAAAAAGATTGCTATTCTAGTGAGGTGAATTCTTCCAAAGTTTTTTTCTGATCAGATTCAATATTGTGTCTTTTAACATTCTTATTCGTCGTCATCACTTTCTCCTGAACTTTAATGTCTTTTGCACTTTTTCGTTTGATGCTGACGTTTTTCTTGACAAATCTTGATTTGACATTCAAATCTTTTGCCGAAATTTCGATTGTGGATTCTTTTTCACTATCGTTCTCACTCACTAATGTATCCGATTTCATCGATTGTTTCAAATTGTTCATTTTTTGTTGAAGTTTAGCCAAGATAATTCGATCATCATCATCTTTGTCATCGTAAACATTTACCGGTGTTTTATTTGTTGCTTCGAATCGTTTTTTCAATGATTCTTGTTTACGATGAAAATAATCATAACTTGACCAATGAAGACGACTAGCTGATCGTGATAAGAAACAAATAAGCCAAACGGGGAGGAATAGTAATAACAATAAAATAACAATAAGAATTGTGGCTCTCTCAAAATCGAATTCGACTTTAAAACGTGATTTTTTGTGCATCGAATCAGAATAAAAATCCAATGATTCATCTTCGATCGAATCATTACAATAGACATTCAATAAGATACAAATTATTAAGATAAAACAATCTTTGAATAAGAATATCATTTTGATTGTTTTATGATAAAATATTCCAAACGAACTATTAAAAAGCCGTAGCAGAAAAATTGTCGAACTTTTTTCCACACACCGATGATGGTTCACAAATAAAAATTCAAATTCTAGAACATCAAATCTCGACCATCTATGTCGATATAGCTGTTCAGTTTCGGCAGCTCGTTTTTGTTTGTTTCATGTGATTTGTTTGATATTTTTTTCCCAAATTAAGTTTAACATTCGAAATATGTCAACATCAGCTCTACCGGATGGTTGGAGACGGGAGGAAGTTAAACGTACTAATGGACTTACAATCAAGACCGATGTTATCTATGTCAGCCCTGATGGACAGCGTATCAAAACGAAAGCAGAGCTAGCTAAATATCTTGGCCACACAATTGATTTATCTTCATTCGATTATCGTTCGGGCAAGATTAATCCATTGTTATTACGAAAAAGTAAAAGATCCTATGGTGCTCATGATCATCGTGCACTCAAGCATGATCCAACAACAATCAATCCAGTTCGACAAACAAATCCATTTTTCAAACATCCAGTCACTATCATGAAGACAAATTCCAATCATTCTAAAGTATTAAATCTACAACAGATTAAAGATATACGTCGTAAGCATAATTTAAGCTTTAATGAACCCAAATCCGATAACATTGAACGACCATTTCAAATGTTTTGGCCTCGAAGATTGGAAGGACAACGAGCATCGAATCATGCACTTGAACGTCTTGACGATTTTCAATTACCACCAAATATTCGAACATTCAATTCGAAATTAGCTAATAACGCAGACATTTTTCGTTCAATAAATGCAAATCTATACAATGATCAACGAGCTATTCGTGGTCAAGAACGTAAAATAATTAATCGTATTCGCCGTGAAATGGATGAAGAAGATGTAATGAGAAATTTATTGGCATTTATTAATCCTCATCAACCATTATCACATACTATTACGATTACCGAACAGGACATAATACAACAGGAAGAAGTGGTTAGAAAATATCGTCAAAAATTACGCAATGCCATAAATCGATAATGAAAAGAAAAAATGTATCAATAAACTATCGATAAAAATTATTTTTTTCTTTGTAAATATAAATATAAATGTATGTACCCAACAAACATTTTCAGTATACTATAGCAAACATCGTTTTGTCTCCTTGATCAAAAAAAAACAAAAACAAAATGAAATCGTAAACACATCTCATCATGAAACAAAAAAAATTTCCAGCCTTTTCCAAACACATAAATCCAAAAACAAATTTTTTTCCCATCCTATTTTCATTGTCTTTTTCATAGGTTGTTTCGAATGAATAATAATCATCAAATGATCATCATTTAATTGATTCTAATTAAATTTCGAAATGAAAATTTCGAAAAAAAACTCGAATGTTTTTTTTTGATCCGATTGAAAAATAATGATAGCGGTGGCGCGCGTTCACACCCCATTGAATAAATATATGATACATACATTATATACATATATAACACAATATTGCGATGTTCATAGCATCCATGTATGTATTAAAAGCAATAGTTTTTTTGGAGTTGGGGGGTTTCAGTTTAGCCATTTTTCTGTCGGACTAGTCACTACACAGAGGGAAAAAATTTCGGTTATAGTCTTTAAGGACAACCCTTTGCGAAAACTCAGTCCTTTTTTTCATCGACAGATGGCACTGATTTTAAATTTTTTAAAAAATCAATACGCGGCATTTTTTTTTCGGAAAATTTTTTTCATCTGAAAAAACTTATAAATTATGACAAAAGATGACGCTGATTTCAATTTATTAAAAAAAAAAAAATTTATATTTTTGATTCTTTTTTCTTTTGATTCTTTTTTCTTTTTGATTCTTTTTTCTTTTGATTCTTTTTTCTTTTTGATTCTTTTTCCTTTCGATTCTTTTTACTTTGCTTTTTAGATCTTCACTATTTCTCTATTTTCTTTCTCTTTTCTCTTTCTATTGCTTTGGATCTTATTTAAATTCTATTGTTTTGGTTTTGTTATTTTCACTCATTTAATTCTTAAGTTCCTTAAGTTCAAATGAAACCTGATTTATATTTTTTGTTGATATTGATGAGTTTGCAAAGGTTACGGAATCGCCAGCAAATTTGTTTTTCACTATTGGATTATTCTATTCCAATTCCAATTGCTTGAATTCTCAGCGGAATCACCAAACCCAATTTTTCATTAAAGTCCAACCGACAACCTAAATTTGAATAAACGATTCATTAAAGGCACCATTATTGTTCCCGTATGCCATTATAACATTAACGAATGCAAGGATATTTATTTATAATTAGCAAAAACTAACAATGTTATATGTTACAGTTTTTTAAAAAAAAGACCATCGAAAAATTGCTTTATATTTCTGATTAGTTATTAAAAATCATATATTTTTATACAAAATCTTATTTGTTGTGCATTAAGATAAATTAATTTTTTTAAAAAATTGAGATTCTTTTCTTGATTCTTTTTAAAAAATTCTTTTTTCTTGAACCATTTTGAAAATTCAATGATGATCTGAAACTACAGTGACACCTCGGTACCGACAATTTCGTTTAACGACGGTAGCCAAGAAAAAAACCTCTGTTAACGATGATGCTCCAAAAAGAATTAATTTTTCAATTTTTTGTATATTGAATCCTTTTATAACATACCAATATTGTTGCCTTATGTTCTAAATGATAAATAACCAATTCAATTATATGATGGCTAAAAAATTTATGTTAAACAAAATATAAACCAACTGTCTAAAAGGATGTTTAAACTAAATATTCATATTTTCAACAAAATTAGCTTGAAATCGCCATTGACCAAACCCAATTTTAAGTCCGATTATCGTCCGGCCGATATCCGTTCAACCTAAATTCCTATTTATTTACTGATAATAATTGTTGATCACTTATCTCCTAAATTATAAATATCCAAAAATGATGACCAAAAAATCCAAATTCACTTGCTTAACAATAATCAACGATGACCTAACATGAATAGAATCTTCATTTAACAAATCCAAATTTCAATCTTAACATAATGGGAATTTACATTTAACAAATCCAAATTTCAATCTTAACATAATGGGAATTTACATTTAACAAATCCAAATTTCAAACTTAACAAAAAGAGAATCTTCATTTCCCAAATCCAAATTTCAAACTTAACATAAAGGGAATCTTCACTTGGTGAATTCAAATTAGTCCGTTTATTATCATTACATTGCTGCCATTTGATTATTATTGCTTCCAAGAATAAATTTGGCTCCTTTTTTGACTTACAATAAATTTAAAACAAGATTCATTTGTTATTAATATGGATCCGAAGTGCATTTGCATGATTCTTATTGAGTTGAGTTTGTTATGATGAATTTAACATTCTCACAATTGATGACAATTATTTTGAGCTTTTTCTTTCTTCGAACAAATTCTTAACAAGATTTGAAGGATCAATTGAGGAATTTCCCCAGCAATTGCTGATATGAACAATTTCCAATGCAATTTCACTCAATTGAAGAATTTCCCTTGCAATTTCAATTTTGGGGAGATTCTTCAATTGATCCGAAGATTCTCTTTTTGTTAAGTTTGAAATTTGGATTTGTTAAAGAATGATTCTCGTTAAGTTTGAAATTT